GATATTTATGACAACAGAAACTTTCAGACATAAAAGCATTTTATATTTCAACAATCGCAATAACTTGCGTTATGAAACAAAAAGTTTTATTTTTTAAAGGATGCAGGAAATTGTAAAATCAAAACCTAATATAACATATATTTGGTATTCTTATCCTCATGAGTACACCTCTAATAAATAAATAAAAATTAATACTTTCTATTAATTTGTTATATTCACACCGTTTTCACGTGTGAATCTATTGGATTCGTTCAGATTGAAAAATCAGTTTTTCGCATTTTGTGAGAAAACAAAGCAAAATTGGTTATAAAAGGTCACAGAAGAAAAGTTTGTGTCTGAAATTTTACATGATTTTCAAAAAACAGATTTCAAATTGGTTGTGACATTGCTGAGAAAATCGCAAAATACGCTTTCTTTAAGCAAACAAGCAAGCAAGCAAGCAAGTTAATCATCAAGAAATCTCAATAACGAGACATTGTAGAGACTTCTAGTTTTTTACATTTGATCCGTACTGCTCTATAGAAGAGCTGTATTGTTTTTGGGCAACGTAGGAACAGCCGTTGCTTCAGAAAAAGCAAAAAACTTTCCTTTCTTACGAATTATTCAAATTAAAAGTTCACTGTGATTTTTTTTATTTTAAATTAAACTTTGGATGAAAAAAATTTTTCTGAGCAAAGAACCAAGAAGGTGCGACCCTAGTCCAAAATTGAAAATGTATTTCCTACTTGGTTCTTTGCTCAAAAAAATTTTAGGGTGTTTTATTTGTATTTGTTTTAAGCGCTTGAATATTTATGCAAAGTTTCAATCCATTTGGAAAAACTCTCGAAGAAAAAAGTGACAAAATTGATTTTGACTAGGGTCGCCCCTATTCCAAAATTGAAAATGTATTTCCTTATTGGTTCTTTGCTCAAAAAAATTTTAGGATGTTTTATTTGAATTTGTTTTAATAATTGTTTTATTTTTCACTTTTTTTCTTCGAGGGTTTATACAAATGGATTGAAACTTTGCATAAATATTCTGGTGCTTAAAACAAATACAAATAAAACATCTAAAACTTTTTTGAGCAAAGAACCAAGTAAGAAATACATTTTCAATTTTTAATTTTGGATTTGGGGCGACCCTAGTCAAAATCAATTTTTCACTTTTTTCTTCGAGGGTTTATACAAATGGATTGAAACTTTGCATAAATATTTTAGTGCTTAAAACAAATACAAATAAAACATTCTAAAATTTTTTTGAGCAAAAAACCAAGTAGGAAATACATTTTCAATTTTGGACTAGGGGCGACCCTAGTCAAAATCAGTTTGGCACTTTTTTTCTTCGAGGGTTTATACAAATGGATTGAAACTTTGCATAAATATTCAAGTGCTTAAAACAAATACAAATAAAACATCCTAAAATTTTTTTGAGCAAAGAACCAAGTAGGAAATACATTTTCAATTTTTAATTTTAGATTAGGGGCGACCCTAGTCAAAATCAATTTTTCACATTTTTTCTTCGAGGGTTTATACAAATGGATTGAAACTTTGCATAAATATTTTAGTGCTTAAAACAAATACAAATAAAACATCCTAAAACTTTTTTGAGCAAAGAACCAAGTAGGAAATACATTTTCAATTTTGGACTAGGGGCGACCCTAGTCAAAATCAGTTTGTCACTTTTTTTCTTCGAGGGTTTATCCAAATGGATTGAAACTTTGCATACATATTCAAGTGCTTAAAACAAATACAAATAAAACATCCAAAAATTTTTTTGAGCAAAGAACCAAGGAGGAAATACATTTTCAATTTTGGATTAGGGGCGACCCTAGTCAAAATCAATTTTTTCACTTTTTTTCTTGAAGGGTTTATACAAATTGATTGAAACTTTGCTTAAATATTCTAGTGCTTAAAAAAAATACAAATAAAACATCCTAAAATTTTTTTGAGCAAAGAACCAAGTAGGAAATACATTTTCAATTTTGGACTAGGGGCGATCCTAGTCAAAATCAATTTTGTCACTTTTTTCTTCGAGGGTTTATCCAAATGGATTGAAACTTTGCATAAATATTTTCCTTATTAAAACAAATACACATAAAATATCTTAAAATTTTTTTGAGCAAAGAACCAAGTAGGAAATACATTTTCAATCTTGGACTAGGGGCGACCCTTGTCAAAATCAATTTTGTCACTTTTTTCTTCGAGGGTTTATACAAATGGATTGAAACTTTGCATAAATATTCTAGTGCTTAAAACAAATACAAATAAAACATCCTAAAATTTTTTTGAGCAAAGAACCAAGTAGGAAATACATTTTCAATTTTGGACTAGGGGCGATCCTAGTCAAAATCAATTTTCTCACTTTTTTCTTCGAGGGTTTATCCAAATGGATTGAAACTTTGCATAAATATTTTTTTAATTAAAACAAATACACATAAAATATCTTAAAATTTTTTTGAGCAAAGAACCAAGTAGGAAATACATTTTCAATCTTGGACTAGGGGCGACGTTGTCAAAATCAATTTTGTCACTTTTTTCTTCGAGGGTTTATACAAATGGATTGAAACTTTGCATAAATATTCTAGTGCTTAAAACAAATACACATAAAATATCCTAAAATTTTTTTGAGCAAAGAACCAAGTAGGAAATACATTTTCAATTTTGGATTAGGGGCGACCCTAGTCAAAATCAATTTTTCACTTTTTTTTTTCGAGGGTTTATACAAATGGATTGAAACTTTGCATAAATATTTTAGTGCTTAAAAAAAATACAAATAAAACATCCTAAAATTTTTTTGAGCAAAGAACCAAGTAGGAAATACATTTTCAATTTTGGATTAGGGGCGACCCTAGTCAAAATCAATTTTTTCACTTTTTTTCTTCTCTTTTTACAAATGGATTGAAACTTTGCATAAATATTCTAGTGCTTAAAACAAATACAAATAAAACATCGTAAAATTTTTTTGAGCAAAGAACCAAGTAGGAAATACATTTTCAATTATGAACTTGGGACAGGTCTAGTCAAAATCTAGTTTTTCACTTTTTTTCTTCGAAGGTTTATCCAATTACAGTGAAACTTTGTGTGAGTATACTAATATTTATACCAAACAGTTTTAAATATCTAAAGCAAGAAATGTATTCTATATGTCGTCAGACCCAAATTTTATAAATTTGGTTGTACGTTCAATAACAACGTGACTTAAAATTTTGTCCAAAAAAATGATTTTTATTAATTCAGAAATGTGTGACCTGAAGATTAGAATGCTCATACAAAGTTTTACTGTATTTGGATTTATCCTCGAAGAAAAAAAGTGAAAAACTGATTTGACTAGGGTCGCCCCTAGACCAAAATTGAAAATGTATTTCCTTCTTGATTCTTTCCTCAAAAAAATTTTAGGATGTTTTATTTGTATTTGTTTTAAGCACTTTAATATTTATGCAAAGTTTCAATCCATTTGGATAAACCCTTGAAGAAAAAAGTGAGAAAATTGATTTTGACTAGGGTCGCCCCTAGTCCAAAATTGAAAATGTATTTCCTTCTTGGTTCTTTGCTCAAAAAAAAATTTAGGATGTTTTATTTGTAATTGTTTTAAGCACTAAAATATTTATGCAAAGTTTCAATCTATTTGTATAAACCCTCGAAGAAAAAAGTGACAAACTGATTTTGACTAGGGTCGCCCCTAGTCCAAAATCGAAAATGTATTTCCTACTTGGTTCTTTGCTCAAAAAAATTTTAGAATGTTTTATTTGTATTTTTTTAAGCACTTGAATATTTTTGCAAAGTTTCATTCCATTTGGATAAACCCTCGAAGAAAAAAGTGACAAATTGATTTTATTAGGGTCTCCCCTAGTCCAAAATTGAAAATGTATTTCCTTCTTGGTTCTTTGCTCAAAAAAATTTTACGATGTTTTATTTGTATTTGTTTTAAGCACTAGAATATTTATGCATAGTTTCAATCCATTTGCATAAACCCTCGAAGAAAAAAGTGAGAAAATTGATTTTGACTAGGGTCGCCCCTAGTCCAAAATTGAAAATGTATTTCCTACTTGGTTCTTTGCTCAAAAAAATTTTAGGATGTTTTATTTGTATTTGTTTTAAGCACTAGAATATTTACACAAAGTTTCAATCCATTTGTATAAACCCTCAAAGAAAAAAAGTGACAAAATTGATTTTGACTAGGGTCGCCCCTAGTCCAAAATTGAAAATTGATTTTCTATGATGTACTCTTGTCAAAAAAATTTTTTGGATGTTTTATTTGAATTGACATAATTTTGACATAAATCACATACCAAGATTACTTTTTGTAATGCATAGCTTTAAAAAACGAAATCTAAAATTTCGACTACTCCATCTGAATTTTGTTCATACTCTTCACTGTGGAAATCAAAAAACAAATTCTTTATCTTAAAACACTTGACAAAATAGCGACATAATTCAGGATTAATTACTTTTTAATAATATTTTAACATTTACGAGAAAATATGGTTCAAATAAGTGTGAAGTATGGCCGAGATTTGGACCAAAATCAGCTAAACTGGTTCATAGTGTTCCCGAGGGTGACAAAATTCAAACTTAGTGTTTTTATAGCTGACATAATTATGACATAAATTAGGTATATCTTTTGAACTGTGTCGATATGGGTCTCGGCCGTACTTCACGTCACCCTTCAAACTTATGCTGAGCAAATCTTGGTCTATCCATAAGACTTTTGATGGTACGGTGTGAATATATCCACATTGGGTTTCTACCCGATACACTAGTTATAGCTTGGATTTGAATAAATCAAATGAGCTTCAATTATTTTCAGTAACATCAAAAATATTGATAAGATGATTACAATTTAATATCAGTTTGAAAATTTTTATCATAAGTATATACAAGATTCCGTAATTACCTAAATTGGTTATTATTTATTCCACAAAATTCAACTAATAATCTTAAAAGTTTATTAATCCTGTACTGAAATGAGTAATGCAAATGAATACATAAAACACAAAAATTATTTTATTTAATAGAAAGTGTATTTCTTTTTCCATGAATATATTATTAAAATTATTCTTACATTCATATAAAATCATAATTTATTAACTTGTTAATTTGTTCTTATATAAGCATCATAATTCAATATGATTAGAGTTTATTTGATTTGATTTCTGTTTTTGTTTATTTTTAACAGACGAAGGCGTCATACAATTCTGTTTGATATATTTATAATCAGATAATATGTGTTTATTAATTTTAAAATACTCTTCATCCTTTTTACGAAACCAATTTTCATACACCTCAAATGGATCAATTTGCCAAAATTTATGAAATGATATTGAACTTCTCTCTAAAATTTCCGGTGAATAATCTCTAAAACGAGCTTGATGGAATAATGACGAATGAATTGCTTCAATATTCAATTGCTTCAAACATGATGCAATAATCATATCATCTGGTGATGATATACTTGAACAACTGCATGAATCAACTATTTTTTTAATGGTTTTTGTATTGAATACGATCCCAGCTCCTCCTGTGATATAGCTGTAACCATCGGAAAACAAATTGTAACCATAACGCTCTCCTAAAAACATATACTCCTTCTTATCAAAGCATCCAAGATATTCAGAAAGAGATGAAATGCTATTATCATTGAATGATTCATCATAATAAGTATGCATACGTAGAAGAAGATGAAGATTTATTAATAGAATAGTATTAAAATAATTTTCTATCTTTGATAAACACAAATTAAGAATTTAACAATATTATTTTCATTATAATTTATAAATAAAAGACTTTATTAAAAAGAAAACAGTTCTACTCACCTCAGAAGTGTATCGTCATCAGCTAGTACAATAAATTCAATGTTCTTTAATGTTGAATTTTTTGAAATCTCATTCAAGATAAGACGTAAAATTTTGAGACTCTTTTCACAATGGCCACGTTCAGTATTCTCAACTCCTGTTGGAACTGTTGGAATGGTACTATCATATATATCACTAAAGAACCTCAAGTGAATTGTAAAACGTGCCCATGTTTTTTGTATAAATGGCAACCGTTCTTTATGATACTTTCCGCAAGTTTTAACAGCAAATAAAACTTTATCAAGACTAATAGCGTTGCCCTAGAGAGAATCAGACACAATAATTTGTCACAATTATTGTTTGTGGCTATGTCTTTTTACATTTTTCTTCTAAAATATATTACTTACACAGAAAATATTTTCCTCTTTTGCATAAATTGCACATTCTAGACCAAAGCGACTACAAAAATAAGGCACAGACTTCAAAACTAAATTCTTATCAACATTCCAAATGAATAAGGCAAGCTCATGTGCTGCATCTATTGTAAAATCAGTAAGCATTTTTGGCTGTTGCGATAACAACGACAAATGATTGGCCAACCTAAATAAAGGTAGATATTTTGAATAATTAATGATTACGGTATTAGTAATGGATTTGTGGCAAAGGTGAAAAATTGTAAATCAATTAGTTAGAATGTCCGAAATCGACAATCAGATTGATTGAGCTTTGCACGTTAATGAGTTTATGCGGGAAAGAGTGTAATAAATTACTCACCTATTAAGTAACGGAATAGAAAATGCAACACCTGCTCTGATATATGGGAAGTGAAATTGTTGTGGATTGCGAAAAAATGCAAAATGATGGATAATTGTTGCTTCACGATCATATAATGAATATCCCATATAAACTTCCTACAGTAAGTAGAAAATAGAAAAAAATAATCCTTTATTCTCATTGCTTGTGTTCAATCCTTTAAAATTCCATTCATTCGAAAACTTTCCAACAATATTCTATGGCTTCGATAAGCCAATATTGTTGCAATAGTTTACCTTTGTTTCATCCTCTGCACTTAGACTAGACAAAAGTTTTTTGAAATTGATGACACTGTTGGTTTCACACAGCACAAACCATTTTGTTCTTGATGTAATTAATTGATTTCGTATGTCAATCAATATTGGAATAATTGCCCATGAATTACCCTTTTTGAAAACTTCATTTGCAAGATAAATATTTGGTTTTGTCTGTGAAATTTTAAAAACTATTTTAAATTTTTTACATTAATCGGGCAAAATTGTTTGCTAACAGTAGTTAACTAGCGAAAAATAGATACATATTTACTCCATGTACAATAAATAGACTTTTAGAGTAATTTTTCACTTAATATATATTATGTTTCTTAAAATATTATGCAAGTCATCTTATTTTTTCATCTTTAGGAATCTTAGATAATCTTCCAATTTTCGCAAGAGTACGATAGCACAAAGAAAAGAAAATTTCATCTACTTACACCATCGTCTAAATTTAATGATTGTTCAATAATGGTATGCTTCAGTTGCTTTGCTACTCCCAAATGATATTTATTCTTCTGGCTTAAAACCAAAAATGATATTTCATCTGAAACTGGATTTGAATTTTAAATTTAGTTCCTTTTTGCATTTTATGTCCAATCTACAGCAAATTTGTTGAACTATGAATCTATATTCATTCTATTTGTATAAATCCAATAAGCTTATTGTTAAGGGAGAAAATCAAGATTTCTTTGAGTAAGCAAAAGGAAAGTCGGAAAGAGTGAACCATGTTTAGAACATTGAGAATGGAAAAAAAATATTTTTTTCTTTCTTTTATGTAAATACAGTGTGACATTTTGAATCCTCCTGTGGCTAGATAATCAGAAAAAATGTTTATGAAGAGCTTTTATGTTATTGTTATAAGCTTAGCTATTGTAATGTATTGAAATCCTTGTCAATATTTACACTTCAATACAGGTTTTCATCATGAAAGATTGAATTTTGCTCAAAAGTAGGTACATTATTAAAATTGCTCATTTATTTATTTTTTATTTCAAAACTTACATATTCCACATGTCGTTGGTGTCAGTAAAATAAACGTGAATGAAATAAGTACAATTTTCAACATATCACATTTAGCAAATATCTAGGCTTCTCCAAACATTAATTATTCTCTCCATGAATATTTATTGTTGAATTTTAGAAATAAATTTAATGAATATTAACGTTACGCTTCATGCATATTTTATTGATTCACCAATAGAATAATTATTTTCATTATTTAATATAATTATTTGAGAGTTTATGATTATTTCATCGTCAGCACATCTCACATTTACTTGAAACATATATGTTCTTTTAATGTTTTTGAACTTATTTCAATATAATTAAATTCTAGTAAATTTGAGAGAAAATATTGTTTTCTAGATTTGAGTCATTTGGAAATGATATTACTACCTTATTAATTTCAATATTTTTGAATAGCGACAACAGATTGTTCTGATTTATATTAGATGATTAAAGAATTTTCGCAATTTAATTTGTTTGAAAAAGTTAAGATTAAAATAAAATGTTTATTTGTGTAAGGAACTGATGGTACTGAATTCAATGACGTACTTTATATTGTAAGACTCAAAAAAATATATTTATTACAAAACATGATAAAATACGTTTTTGTATATGAAAATAAAATTACATTTTTGAAACTTTTCAATCTATAGTTGAAATTATTTTTGGAATTTAGACAAATTTTTAAGTCAGACCGACGTGAAGTGTAACTTATGGGTGTCAAGTATAAATCCCAAGTACTTGAGTTTTTGCCCCAAGAACTTGTATCAATCCTAAAATGCAAATAATATATTTAATTAGCTAGCTTTTATCCTCTTAGCTTACAAAATTTAACAGGATTGATGATTTTTTCCTTTAAACTTAATTATTTTTTATTTTAAGTATATTTTTGTTTAAATTTGTTGTTTTTGCTGCCATTATTTTATTGAAAAGTGAAAACTTTCCCAGAAAAGTTTAAATCTTAAAATATTAATTTAAGCATTAGTCAAAAATATTTGTTAATAATAATGTTGATTGGTATGACCAATTTTAGCAATGAATACAATTGATTGCAGATAAATTCGAATATGATATTAAAGTTTTTTTTATTAAAATTTTTGAAAAGTTTTTTATTTAAAATATTTTATCTTCTGAAAATTTTACGTCATTTTCTCTTTTAAATGTCAATACAGAAAGAACTAGCTGACATAAGTCAATAACTTTGATGTTGAACTCTTATTTTTGACAAATTATGTTTTTGTTTAAAAAATACTAAAGTAAAATTTTTTTATCCAACGTAAAATAGTTTTTTGATGGGATTAATAACTTTTATCCTTTATATGTTCTTAAAAATGTTAAAACTTATATATTTTATGAAATCTTGGATCTGTACAAGCACCCTGTTTTTTCGTTATAAGCTAGTAGCTTAGTAGAACAAAAAAAGAATGAATTTTTTTGGACACCAGCAGCTTAGTAACGAGAAGAAGCTCAGTAAAAAAATTGAACTTCAATAAATTTTTTCAATTTTTTAAATTGATTTGAAGAAGTTGTGCTTTGCTTAGATTTCATTTCAATTGCAATGTCATATTTCATTAAGAAGCTTAGTCAAATTAAAGCATCCCAAAAAATTGTTTAAAAAAACAATTATAGTTTCAAAATTAAGTAAAAATTGCTTAACCAATTTTTGACTTTTATGATTGATTCTAAATAGAAAATAAAATATAAAGTAAAGGAATGCCCTAAAATTGTGGGAACATTAAGGGTTGGTTGAATCGTCCTCAAAAACTGTTAATCGTTATGAACTTTTGAAATTTCGTAACATACAAACATTATGCCATGTAAAATAAGACAATAATAATAAGACAATAATAATAAGACAACAAACATTTTATGCATTTGATTCGATTTGATATTTTTTCAATACCAGCAAATATTTTTGTCATAAATATTTTCGTGTCTATAAGTATTTTTACAATCTTTTTATGTCTTTTTAAAAATCATGAATTGAGATATAATAAACATTTTATTTATTTCTTATTCAATAATTTTTTATCATATTTTTGATGTCACCACGAATATTTTCAGTAGCTTCGAAAATTCAGCATTATTTGTTTATTAATAAAAGTTATGCTTCAAAATGTATTTTTTTAATATTGAAACTATATTAAATATAACTATAACTTTAAATGAATTTAAGGATATTTTTTTAAATTTACACTTGTATTAAAATTAATCGGAATTTTAATTAATTTAAATTTTTATTATTTGTCAACTTAATCTCTCAAATTAATTTTGTCGGAACTTTTTCTTTATGATCTTCACTCATTTGCAGAGTCACGACAACTGAAAAGTGTTGTGAGGATTTAATCAAACTTATGTTGAAAGTCTTATTGTAAACACTGATAATGCGCAAAATCTTTACGAAAAATTGACGAAAATGCACGTGTTTATTTGTAGACTTGTTTGTCTCGTGAGGCTAGTAAATTGGTTTTTTTTGTCGTGTACAATGAAGAAAAACAGTTATTTTTATGAATGAATTTTCTCTGTTATCTTGTTCAAGTAAATAGAACAAAGTTTTAAAGCAATATGAAAAGGAATAAAAAGTGTATAGAAGTAGAAAAAAAATCTGTTGTTTTTTTCTCTTATGACTCTTATTTGTTGTTATTATGATAAAAACTTTTAAATTGCTTTCAGTTTATTACGCCATGAGAGGGAAATGAAAATGCCGTTTATTGTTTTGATGATTCCAAGTTCTGAAAGAAAAAAGAACGAAATATTTTTCTTTGATGAAACATTTCATCTTCATTATTATTAAAAAAAAAATATGTTGAGTCTGTCAAAGTTTGTAATACTTTTAAAAATGTACAAGTAATCATTTCAAACAGAAGCAATATTCTAAAATTTATTATTTATGTGCTTGAATGAATTCATCAGATTGAAACGTATAAAATTAAATTGATGCATTTTTGAATGATTCTCTATGTGAAAAAATTCATTGAAATGACGTTTCATATGAAAAAATATTCACGTTTCAATGCCTCCGAATTCAATATTAAATTGTGGTATAGTAGTTGGCGTGTGTATTTTCTTTTTCATGCAATATAGGCTATACATCTCTTTTAATTTCATCGCAATCATTCCTGATTTATGATCAACTTTTAATTTTTATAGAAAATGATTGGTAAGATAAAACAAACTGTTTTAATTTACCTTTTTTTTTCTTTAAAATATTAGGTAAGATATAAAATTATGTTATTTCTAAGTTAATCATACACAGCCAAAGATAAACAATTTAACTATGCAGAAAGAAAAAAATATTTTTAAATATTTAAACCAAAAGTTTGCAAGCATCCTATTGGACTGTTATCAGAATAGAAATTTTTCAAAAACTTAATTACCAGCTTAAGGCCAATTTCCTCCTCATATACATTCTGAAATCATATGCCACCAAATAATTTTTTAAAAAAAATTCAATACCAAAATATAATCTTTAAATTGCTAAGTGGAGTGTATTAAATCAAAATTGAGTTATAGAAATGTGTTTATTAAGCTATAAAAACTGAAAATACATACGATAAATACGCAATCTGAATTTTGATGCGCTTGTTGCGATTTAAACGTTCATTCATATAGGAAAATAAAAATTCACATTTTATTCAATTACCAAAATGCCAATGATGTTCATCTGAAACAGATTCCGGGTTTCACAAAAAAAAAATTAAAACGATGGAAGCGAAGCAATTTATTTTTCATCAATATTGCAAGCATAATGTTGATAGCTTTAGGTGTTATACCTTTTTCTTGAAAAAATTTTGAAAACCTTTTTTTTAATTGATATCGTTTCATATTTTTTTCCTGATTTGAAGAATTGATTAGTGATTTGCTAAAGCATACGTTCCTGAAATAATAAACTTTTAGTTTCAAAAAATAATCTAACTTATCAAGTTTTTTTTTTCATCTTTAGAAAAATTATCTCAAAAAATATCACAATGTTTTTATTGATCTGTTAATTATTTCATTGCGTTTTTTAATTTTATTTACATAAAATAAATATTTGAAAATTAAAAATTAATCGGCCTGTTTCACTAAAGTGGATTATCCTCGATTTCGGATTATCCACTTCAGTTTTTTGGAAATATCGCCAGACGCTTAAGGTTATTAAGAGATCTAATGTGTGATCTAGCAAGAGTACTTTGCTACTTAAATCAACATATACTTAGAATTTTTATATCTTCACTAGTTTGAGAATTATAGCAAAAATTGAAGTTAATCTACTAGATTTGGCTAGGAAATTGAATAATTGATAGTTCTTAACGAAAAGTAAAAGTTTAAAAAATTAGAAATACCACACCTCCCATAAAGTTTAAGATATTTCCAAAAAACTGAAGTGGATAATCCGAAATCGAGGATAATCCACTTTAGTGAAACAGGCCGAATGATATAAAGTTTTGCATAAACTTACTTGTAGATTTGAAAAAATTAAATAATTTAATAAAAATTTTGATTCAGCTGCATTTTGTTATTTACGTGTTTTTGTAAACGATACTTTACGTGCCAAATATTTTTCAATATTTTGACAGATTAGAAAATACATTAAAAGATTCTAACCCGAGTAGCACAAGTCGGATAATCGAGATGAAATCCTACGCTAGGACGACGTGGTTATGATCTAAGGGCGAATTTCTCGTCACGACGAAAAATTTGCCCTAAAGTCGCCGTGATATCTTCCTTGCGTAGGATTTCGTCTCGAATATCCGACTTGTGCTCTCCGGGTAACGTTTTCATTGGACAGTTCGCAAAAAAATTACAGAAGTCTTCGTGCTTTTTCAAGAGACTTCAGCACATTTTTACACAGCGATCAGTATCTGGTTATCAGATTAATGCGATGGTAGTCGATTGCACCGAAAAATAATAAGTCCACAACACTAGAGGATAATAAACTTGAAAAATGAAAAATCACGGAGAGACAATATGGCCACTTATAAAATTTTAATTTTTCAATTTTCAATTTTTCACGAAAAAAATCACTTTCATTTGTATGTGGGTATTTAATCCACCTATATTTCTTAGTGGACTTATTGTCCTTTTGTGCAAAACATTACAACAAAATATTGATCAGGTAAAAAAAGTTGTAACATATTTAATTGCTTTTCATAAAATTGTCAAATTTAAACTATATTTTTCATGTGGGTTAATTTACTATCTACTAGAATTTTTTTCTAAAAATATTAGTATCAATTTAAACAAGTTCTTCATACAAAAAGGTATTTAAGATTTCACAATTTTTGAACTGAATTGTGTAATTTTCAACAATTTTTCCAATATTGTATTTAAAACTTAATCTTATAATCTAGATAAAAATATGCCAACGTAGGACAACGGTCCCTCATTTTTTGATATTTGGCCCTTTATTCTTCGAAGTCGGAAAAATAATTTATTTACATTTTGAATTAAAATCTATTTCACGAATTTAAAGTTTATTTCGTGAGTTTTAGTTTTTTAAATGGTTTTAAAATTACTAAATTTCTAATAAAGAAATTTTGACAAACTCATTAAAAAGTGCGTGAAATTGAAATTTTTGAAAGAATAACGGAAAAAAAATTTCGTTGACTTGTGGGTCTTAGATTCGAGTAGATTTGAAAAGTATTTTTCTGGAACAAAACACCTACTCAAATCAAGGACCCCATATTGAAAAATATGTTTTTTTTTCCTGTCTGAAGCTGTGTAATACAAAATGGTAATTTCTTTGTTTATTCAAACAATTCAAATCAAAGTATGAGTTTTAAACTATAATTGAGACTTTTTAAGATTGTCAGTTAAAATCAAAGTGAGGAAACTCAAAATCTACGATTAAACAAAATCTTTTATTAAAGAATTCAAAATTTTATAAAAATATCAAAATTTTCATTCAGATTTCAAAAGATTTTCATAGAGGCAATGTCAAAATAGCCAGTTGAAAAATTGTTGATTTTACTTAAATTACTTTATTTTTCAAAATACTATTGTCATTTTCTGAAAAATAATAAAAAGCTTGTAAAAAGGATTCTGATAAGCTCAAAAGATAGCAAAAAATCAATAATTAATGATCATTACAATTTTTGAGTTTGTCTACATTCAAAATTTGGGATTCTTTAAATTTCCATGTGATTTTAATTAAAATGCTTATGCTGTTAGAATCTTAAACGTTGCTTTTAAAGCGATAAATCCATAATATTAGTGAAAATATTTTTCCATCAAAATTATCGATTATAATATTAAATAAATAAATAATAAATTAAAAACTAGTAATGAAGCCGATCACGCTTCATGGGAATATTCACACAATCCTATAGAACTCTCCATGTATTGTTCAGAAAATCTTGAAAAATCTTCTCTCAATAAAATGTAAGACTTAATCAGGGGCGTAGCCAGGGGGGGGCCATAGGGGGCCCGGGCCCCCCCTACGAAAATCTGATAATTGTTTTATTAAGTATTTATAGAGAAAAACCAGTTAATGTAGAGGAAGTGATGAAAGAAATGTCAAAATCAGCACGAAAAATTAAATTTAATGTATGAATAATGAATTAAATATTTAAACTTATGAAGAATGAATATAGATTTAAGGATACAAAATAACAATTTTTTTAATTTTCGAAAATGGGCCCCCCCCTTAAAAATTTTCTGGCTACGCCCCTGGACTTAATATCAACATTTTGCTGCATTATCAACAAAGTATACCACGCATTAGGAACACGTTTTATAACGAAAATCATGATTCAAAAATTTGCCAATTTTTAAAAGTATAAATATGAAAAATACGACTTATGTAGAAAGCCATTAACTTTCACACTTAGTAAACGATAGATTATGAAATTGAAAAATCACTCAAATTAATGCTCCGCAGTCAGTCTCTTATGTAGATCAGACTTCAACATAGGTTACAGTCTTGAAAAGTTTTGCAACTTGTGTGCTCCGTTTCGTTCAACTGTTTATAGATTACAGAAGGTTTATAGGTTACAGGTGTAAAATAATGATCTCAGTAGTCTGAGAAAATAAAAATCAGTTGAAAAACACGAACAAAAACATTAAGACGTGTTTCATTAAAAATTAAAAATAAAACAACAGGTGTGTTAAACTCAGATCTTATAGATTACAGTAGGTTTATAAATTACAGGTGTGTTGAACTTCAATATCAATATTTATTTTTAAATACTTTTAAGGTCATAGATGCAACCAAATTATCTAGATCGATCTGGATTTTTAAATCTGCATCTGGATCTGGATCTGGATTAAATGTGAGCTTCGCTCAACCTAGTTTAGATTTATAGGTTACAGGTGTGTTAAACTCCACTCCGTTTCACTCCGTTTCGTTCAACTGTTTATAGATTACAGTAGGTTTATAGGTTACAGGTGTGTTGAACTCCACTCCGTTTCGTTCAACTGTTTATAGATCACAGAAGGTTTATAGGTTACAGGTGTGTTGAACTCCACTCCGTTTCACTCCGTTTCGTTCAACTGTTTATAGATTACAGTAGGTTTATAGGTTACAGGTGTGTTGAACTCCACTCCGTTTCACTCCGTTTCGTTCAACTGTTTATAGATTACAGTAGGTTTATAGGTTACAGGTGTGTTGAACTCCACTCCGTTTCACTCCGTTTCGTTCAACTGTTTATAGATTACAGTAGGTTACAGGTGTGTTGAACTCCACTCCGTTTCACTCCGTTTCGTTCAACTGTTTATAGATTACAGTAGATTTATAGGTTACAGGTGTGTTGAACTCCACTCCGTTTCACTCCGTTTCGTTCAACTGTTTATAGATTACAGTAGGTTTATAGGTTACAGGTGTGTTGAACTCCACTCCGTTTCACTCCGTTTCGTTCAACTGTTTATAGATTACAGTAGGTTTATAGGTTACAGGTGTGTTGAACTCCACTCCGTTTCACTCCGTTTCGTTCAACTGTTTATAGATTACAGAAGGTTTATAGGTTACATGTGTGTTGAACTCCAATCCGTTTCACTCCGTTTCGTTCAACTGTTTATAGATTACAGTAGGTTTATAGGTTACATGTGTGTTGAACTCCAATCCGTTTCACTCCGTTTCGTTCAACTGTTTATAGATTACAGTAGGTTAATAGGTTACAGGTGTGTTGAACTCCACTCCGTTTCACTCCGTTTCGTTCAACTGTTTATAGATTACAGTAGGTTACAGGTGTGTTGAACTCCACTCCGTTTCACTCCGTTTCGTTCAACTGTTTATAGATTACAGTAGATTTATAGGTTACAGGTGTGTTGAACTCCACTCCGTTTCACTCCGTTTCGTTCAACTGTTTATAGATTACAGTAGGTTTATAGGTTACAGGTGTGTTGAACTCCACTCCGTTTCACTCCGTTTCGTTCAACTGTTTATAGATTACAGTAGGTTAATAGGTTACAGGTGTGTTGAACTCCACTCCGTTTCACTCCGTTTCGTTCAACTGTTTATAGATTACAGTAGGTTACAGGTGTGTTGAACTCCACTCCGTTTCACTCCGTTTCGTTCAACTGTTTATAGATTACAGTAGATTTATAGGTTACAGGTGTGTTGAACTCCACTCCGTTTCACTCCGTTTCGTTCAACTGTTTATAGATCACAGAAGGTTTATAGGTTACAGGTGTGTTGAACTCCACTCCGTTTCACTCCGTTTCGTTCAACTGTTTATAGATTACAGTAGGTTTATAGGTTACAGGTGTGTTGAACTCCACTCCGTTTCACTCCGTTTCGTTCAACTGTTTATAGATTACAGTAGGTTTATAGGTTACAGGTGTGTTGAACTCCACTCCGTTTCACTCCGTTTCGTTCAACTGTTTATAGATTACAGAAGGTTTATAGGTTACAGATCGTACTGGATTTTTTTAAATTGGGTAAAATTTTCACGCCTTCACTTCGCTTCGCTCCGTTCAGGACGTAAAAATTTGTGAGCTTCGCTCAACCTAGTTTAGATTTATAGGTTACATGTGCGTTGAACTCCACTACGTTTCACTCCGTTTCGTTCAACTGTTTATGGATTACAGTAGGTTTATAGGTTACAGGTGTGTTGAACTCCACTCCGTTTCACTCCGTTTCGTTCAACTGTTTATAGATTACAGTAGGTTTATAGGTTACAGGTGTGTTGAACTCCACTCCGTTTCGTTCAACTGTTTATAGATCACAGAAGGTTTATAGGTTACAGGTGTGTTGAACTCCACTCCGTTTCACTCCGTTTCGTTCAACTGTTTATAGATTACAGTAGGTTTATAGGTTACAGGTGTGTTGAACTCCACTCCGTTTCACTCCGTTTCGTTCAACTGTTTATAGATTACAGTAGGTTTATAGGTTACAGGTGTGTTGAACTCCACTCCGTTTCACTCCGTTTCGTTCAACTGTTTATAGATTACAGTAGGTTACAGGTGTGTTGAACTCCACTCCGTTTCACTCCGTTTCGTTCAACTGTTTATAGATTACAGTAGATTTATAGGTTACAGGTGTGTTGAACTCCACTCCGTTTCACTCCGTTTCGTTCAACTGTTTATAGATTACAGTAGGTTTATAGGTTACAGGTGTGTTGAACTCCACTCCGTTTCACTCCGTTTCGTTCAACTGTTTATGGATTACAGTAGGTTTATAGGTTACAGGTGTGTTGAACTCCACTCCGTTTCACTCCGTTTCGTTCAACTGTTTATAGATTACAGAAGGTTTGTAGGTTACAGATCGTACTGGATTTTTTTAAATTGGGTAAAATTTTCACGCCTTCACTTCGCTTCGCTCCGTTCAGGACGTAAAAATTTGTGAGCTTCGCTCAACCTAGTTTAGATTTAAAGGTTACAGGTGTGTTGAACTCCACTCCGTTTCACTCCGTTTCGTTCAACTGTTTATAGATTACAGTAGGTTTATAGGTTACAGGTGTGTTGAACTCCACTCCGTTTCACTCCGTTTCGTTCAACTGTTTATAGATTACAGAAGGTTTGTAGGTTACAGATCGTACTGGATTTTTTTAAATTGGGTAAAATTTACACGCCTTCACTTCGCTTCGCTCCGTTCAGGACGTAAAAATTTGTGAGCTTCGCTCAACCTAGTTTAGGTTTATAGGTTACAGGTGTGTTGAACTCCACTCCGTTTCACTCCGTTTCGTTCAACTGTTTATAGATTACAGTAGGTTTATAGGTTACAGGTGTGTTGAACTCCACTCCGTTTCACTCCGTTTCGTTCAACTGTTTATAGATTACAGTAGATTTATAGGTTACAGGTGTGTTGAACTCCACTCCGTTTCACTCCGTTTCGTTCAACTGTTTCTAGATTACTGTAGGTTTATAGGTTACAGGTGTGTTGAACTCCACTCCGTTTCACTTCGTTTCGTTCAACTGTTTATAGATTACAGTAGATTTATAGGTTACAGGTGTGTTGAACTCCACTCCATTTCGTTCAACTGTTTATAGATTACAGTAGGTTTATAGGTTAACCAAGATCCAGTAAAGTTTTAAGCATGTCTGAAACTTAAAACCAAGATCCAGTTAAGTTTTAAGCATGTCTGAAACTTAAAACCAAGATCCAGTAAAGTTTTAAGCATGTCTATAACTTAAAACCAAGATCCAGTAAAGTTTTAAGCATGTCTATAACTTAAAACCAAGATCCAGTAAAGTTTTAAGCATGTCTATAACTTAAAACCAAGATCCAGTAAAGTTTTAAGCATGTCTGAAACTTAAAACCAAGATCCAGTAAAGTTTTAAGCATGTCTGAAACATAAAACCAAGATCCAGTAAAGTTTTAAGCATGTCTGAAACTTAAAACCAAGATCCAGTAAAGTTTTAAGCATGTCTGAAACTTAAAATCAAGATCCAATAAAGTTTTAAGCATGTCTTTACTTAAAACCAAGATCCAGTAAAGTTTTAAGCATGTCTGAAACTTAAAACCAAGATCCAGTTAAGTTTTAAGCATGTCTGAAACTTAAAACCAAGATCCAGTAAAGTTATAGGCATGTCTGAAACTTAAAACCAAGATCCAGTAAAGTTTTAAGCATGTCTGAAACTTAAAACCAAGATCCAGTAAAGTTTTAAGCATGTCTGAAACTTAAAACCAAGATCCAGTAAAGTTTTAAGCATGTCCGAAACTTAAAACCAAGATCCAGTAAAGTTATAGGCATGTCTGAAACTTAAAACCAAGATCCAGTAAAGTTTTAAGCATGTCTGAAACTTAAAACCAAGATCCAGTAAAGTTTTAAGCATGTCTGAAACTTAAAACCAAGATCCAGTAAAGTTTTAAGCATGTCTGAAACTTAAAATCAAGATCCAATAAAGTTTTAATCATGTCTTTACTTAAAACCAAGATCCAGTAAAGTTTTAATCATGTCTGAAACTTAAAACCAAGATCCAGTAAAGTTATAGGCATGTCTGAAACTTAAAACCAAGATCCAGTAAAGTTTTAAGCATGTCTGAAACTTAAAACCAAGATCCAGTAAAGTTTTAAGCATGTCTGAAACTTAAAACCAAGATCCAGTAAAGTTTTAAGCATGTCTATAACTTAAAACCAAGATCCAGTAAAGTTTTAAGCATGTCTGAAACTTAAAATCAAGATCCAATAAAGTTTTAATCATGTCTTTACTTAAAACCAAGATCCAGTAAAGTTTTAATCATGTCTGAAACTTAAAACCAAGATCCAGTTAAGTTTTAAGCATGTCCGAAACTTAAAACCAAGATCCAGTAAAGTTTTAAGCATGTCTGAAACTTAAAACCAAGATCCAGTAAAGTTTTAAGCATGTCTGAAACTTAAAACCAAGATCCAGTTAAGTTTTAAGCATGTCTGAAACTTAAAACCAAGATCCAGTAAAGTTTTAAGCATGTCCGAAACTTAAAACCAAGATCCAGTAAAGTTATAGGCATGTCTGAAACTTAAAACCAAGATCCAGTAAAGTTTTAAGCATGTCTGAAACTTAAAACCAAGATCCAGTAAAGTTTAAAGCATGTCTGAAACTTAAAACCAAGATCCAGTAAAGTTTTAAGCATGTCCGAAACTTAAAACCAAGATCCAGTAAAGTTATAGGCATGTCTGAAACTTAAAACCAAGATCCAGTAAAGTTTTAAGCATGTCTGAAACTTAAAACCAAGATCCAGTAAAGTTTTAAGCATGTCTGAAACTTAAAACCAAGATCCAGTAAAGTTTTAAGCATGTCTGAAACTTAAAACCAAGATCCAGTAAAGTTTTAAGCATGTCTGAAACTTAAAACCAAGATCCAGTTAAGTTTTAAGCATGTCTGAAACTTAAAACCAAGATCCAGTAAAGTTTTAAGCATGTCTGAAACTTAAAACCAAGATCCAGTAAAGTTTTAAGCATGTCTGAAACTTAAAATCAAGATCCAGTAAAGTTTTAAGCATGTCTGAAACTTAAAACCAAGATCCAGTTAAGTTTTAAGCATGTCTAAACTTAAAACCAAGATCCAGTAAAGTTTTAAGCATGTCTGAAACTTAAAACCAAGATCCAGTAAAGTTTTAAGCATGTCTGAAACTTAAAATCAAGATCCAGTAAAGTTTTAAGCATGTCTGAAACTTAAAACCAAGATCCAGTTAAGTTTTAAGCATGTCTAAACTTAAAACCAAGATCCAGTAAAGTTATAGGCATGTCTGAAACTTAAAACCAAGATCCAGTAAAGTTTTAAGCATGTCCGAAACTTAAAACCAAGATCCAGTAAAGTTATAGGCATGTCTGAAACTTAAAACCAAGATCCAGTAAAGTTTTAAGCATGTCTGAAACTTAAAACCAAGATCCAGTAAAGTTTTAAGCATGTCTGAAACTTAAAACCAAGATCCAGTAAAGTTTTAAGCATGTCTGAAACTTAAAATCAAGATCCAATAAAGTTTTAATCATGTCTTTACTTAAAACCAAGATCCAGTAAAGTTTTAATCATGTCTGAAACTTAAAACCAAGATCCAGTAAAGTTTTAAGCATGTCCGAAACTTAAAACCAAGATCCAGTAAAGTTTTAAGCATGTCCGAAACTTAAAACCAAGATCCAGTAAAGTTATAGGCATGTCTGAAACTTAAAACCAAGATCCAGTAAAGTTTTAAGCATGTCTGAAACTTAAAACCAAGATCCAGTAAAGTTTAAAGCATGTCTGAAACTTAAAACCAAGATCCAGTAAAGTTTTAAGCATGTCCGAAACTTAAAACCAAGATCCAGTAAAGTTATAGGCATGTCTGAAACTTAAAACCAAGATCCAGTAAAGTTTTAAGCATGTCTGAAACTTAAAACCAAGATCCAGTAAAGTTTTAAGCATGTCTGAAACTTAAAACCAAGATCCAGTAAAGTTTTAAGCATGTCTGAAACTTAAAATCAAGATCCAATAAAGTTTTAAGCATGTCTGAAACTTAAAACCAAGATCCAGTAAAGTTTTAATCATGTCTGAAACTTAAAACCAAGATCCAGTTAAGTTTTAAGCATGTCCGAAACTTAAAACCAAGATCCAGTAAAGTTTTAAGCATGTCTGAAACTTAAAACCAAGATCCAGTAAAGTTTTAAGTATATCTGAAACTTAAAACCAAGATCCAGTAAAGTTTTAAGCATGTCTGAAACTTAAAACCAAGATCCAGTAAAGTTTTAAGCATGTCTGAAACTTAAAACCAAGATCCAGTAAAGTTTTAAGCATGTCTGAAACTTAAAACCAAGATCCAGTAAAGTTTTAAGCATGTCTTTAACTTAAAACCAAGATCCAGTAAAGTTTTAAGCATGTCTGAAACTTAAAACCAAGATCCAGTAAAGTTTTAAGCATGTCTGAAACTTAAAACCAAGATCCAGTAAAGTTTTAAGCATGTCTGAAACTTAAAACCAAGATCCAGTAAAGTTTTAAGCATGTCTGAAACTTAAAATCAAGATCCAGTAAAGTTTTAAGCATGTCTGAAACTTAAAACCAAGATCCAGTTAAGTTTTAAGCATGTCCGAAACTTAAAACCAAGATCCAGTAAAGTTATAGGCATGTCTGAAACTTAAAACCAAGATCCAGTAAAGTTTTAAGCATGTCTATAACTTAAAACCAAGATCCAGTAAAGTTTTAAGCATGTCTGAAACTTAAAACCAAGATCCAGTAAAGTTTTAAGCATGTCTATAACTTAAAACCAAGATCCAGTAAAGTTTTAAGCATGTCTGAAACTTAAAACCATGATCCAGTAAAGTTTTAAGCATGTCTGAAACTTAAAACCAAGATCCAGTAAAGTTTTAAGCATGTCTGAAACTTAAAACCAAGATCCAGTAAAGTTTTAAGCATGTCCGAAACTTAAAACCAAGATCCAGTAAAGTTATAGGCATGTCTGAAACTTAAAACCAAGATCCAGTAAAGTTTTAAGCATGTCTATAACTTAAAACCAAGATCCAGTAAAGTTTTAAGCATGTCTGAAACTTAAAACCAAGATCCAGTAAAGTTTTAAGCATGTCTGAAACTTAAAACCAAGATCCAGTAAAGTTTTAAGCATGTCTGAAACTTAAAACCAAGATCCAGTAAAGTTATAGGCATGTCTGAAACTTAAAACCAAGATCCAGTAAAGTTTTAAGCATGTCTAAACTTAAAACCAAGATCCAGTAAAGTTATAGGCATGTCTGAAACTTAAAATCAAGATCCAGTAAAGTTTTAAGCATGTCTGAAACTTAAAATCAAGATCCAGTAAAGTTTTAAGCATGTCTGAAACTTAAAACCAAGATCCAGTAAAGTTTTAAGCATGTCTAAACTTAAAACCAAGATCCAGTAAAGTTATAGGCATGTCTGAAACTTAAAACCAAGATCCAGTTACGTTTTAAGCATGTCCGAAACTTAAAACCAAGATCCAGTAAAGTTATAGGCATGTCTGAAACTTAAAACCAAGATCCAGTAAAGTTTTAAGCATGTCTGAAACTTAAAATCAAGATCCAGTAAAGTTTTAAGCATGTCTGAAACTTAAAATCAAGATCCAGTAAAGTTTTAAGCATGTCTGAAACTTAAAATCAAGATCCAGTAAAGTTTTAAGCATGTCTGAAACTTAAAATCAAGATCCAGTAAAGTTTTAAGCATGTCTGAAACTTAAAATCAAGATCCAGTAAAGTTTGAGAAAAAGTACAAGTGGGCTTTGACAATTTCAATTTGAATTTTTTTTATAATTAAGAAATAAGAAATAAGAAAAAGATCTAAGTAGGCTTTGACAATTACAATTTCAATCAATTTTATAATTAATATAAGAAAAAGTTCGTAGTGAACTTTGAAAATTTGTTGAAAGTGAAAAATCATTGTGGAAAATTAATTCAATCATTTAACAAGTATTTAACACACTTTCACAGACATTGTGAAAGTAAAATTGAAATTGTGCTGTCGTTGGAAATAAGATCCAGTAAGTATAAGCCTGTTTGAAATAAAGACAAAATAATCGAGCAGGAATAAAATTAAGAATCATACCATAAAAAAAAATTCCAGTTGCAAAAAAAAATATTTTCATTATGATACAAATAAAGTTTGTATTTAAAGACATAGATACAGTATGCTGAAGGAACTTGCTAGTTCCAACATTTTTTCACATACATTTAACTTAATGCATACTGTCACAACCATTTTATTAATATCACACTTATACCAACAAATATTTTCTGTTGTATGAATGTAAACAAATGTGTTTTGCAATAATGGGTTATAATTTGCCAAAAAATGATAGTTTTTTGCATCTTGTGCCTCACTGGAAGCATCTTATGACTCCAAAAACTATACAGCAAATCTATGACCCAATATCTATCATATAAAAGTAACATTAAGGCTTGATATTGAGTTTGAATTGAGTTATCGCTCCGAATAACTAACTAACTAACTAACAGAATGCCTTTTTTGGCGATTTCGCGGAACTGGAAGCACGAAATAAGATGCAGTTTTTACCATTCGATAGGTATTTCGAGGCACAGACTTTTACATATCAGACTTATGGAGTGATTCGGTAAGACTGAAGCAGCAAGTTAAAAAAACTGATTTTCCGTAAAACCAAAAGCAATATATTCACAAAAATTGAAAATTTTGTGTGAATATGATTTAAAAAATATTGGAAAATTATGTCATTGGAAAACTATTCTATGGAATTCTAGTAGATAGTGAATTAACCCACATGAAAAATAAAGTTTATAGTCAGTCTATTAGTCAGAATTACGTCCATATTACGTCCATTTACGTCCCGCAATTAAATATTTTCGTCCTACTTCCTATGACTGGATACACCACTTTTATTATTTGGGTATCTTTCCCGCTAACTTCACTTTTTCAGCGGGAACCAATTACGAAATTAATTTTAATCATGCATATTATGTATAAAAACTGATCTCCTAATTACGTCCAATTTTGTCCCACAAAAATTTTTGGAATTGGATATAACCAGCAAGAGTTATGGACTGTCAAAGTTTTGAACAGTACTACCTGTGGACCAATATTTTTTTCCTTTCAAAAACTTATCATGTTGTATATCAAAACACGTCTACTTTTTCTCAGAAGCTTAAATCTGATGAAACTATTTAAGTCCAACCTGTCAGTTTAGACTTGTGGCAGTTCCAGTTCCATATCGTACCTGAACATCATCAAAGTAATTTGAAATAATTTATTGATGATGAATTCGATGCGTTGCATCCAAAATTATTTGATTGGTTTAGGTCTTTAACAGACGATTGAATTTTATCATTTACAGACAGATTTTGTTCTTCATTTTGTTTTTCATTTTTCGGGTTTATTATCCTCTAGTGTTGTGGACTTATTATTTTTCGGTGCAATTGACTAGCCCCGATTAATGCGACCAAACGAAAATGCAACAAATTAACCTTTCCCTAAGATTTTAACTCATTAAAAATCTTTACTTTATTTTTCGTGATACTTGGCCTTGTTTCTTCTTCAAATATTGAGTTTTGGCATTTGTGAAGTATGTGATTTCATACAAAAATCAGAACTTTATCAATAACTACAATTGCGGAGGCAATCATTCAGCAAATCATCAAATCATCAATCAAAGAAAACGATTGATCTATGATCAAAACAGTTTCCATAGTTGCCGAAACAAGGTTAAGTTACGTGCAATAACGCGATCGAGAAAGGTGAAGCTGCTGATGCAATACAAGTCACATAAACTACTCAGAGAAGCTTTTCAATCCCGGGATTGAAATGTATGTAATCCATACTTTTGAAAAGAAAACTTATTAAACGCATTCAATGGTGGGTTTAGATGGTTGATGCTATCTTGAATGGATTTATGCATCATGAAATGTGTGGAAATTGTAGGGGTTTATTGATTGAGAAAAATGCATTATTAAGCTAGCTTTTAAAAAACAAGTTTAATGTAAAATGATTGGTGAGAATCAATAGTCTAATTCCAGTTTAGTCATTTTTATGTAAAACATGTCACAAAGCTGGAGTATCATAGCAAACAGGTAGACAAAGTTATCATATTCATAACCGTCATTTATGACGAGCAAAATTTTTATAAACCTTAATATTCTAATACTATGGAGATTATTTACTACCAAAACTTAATGTTTAAAGTCATAATTAAACAAATATTAGCTTTGAAACCTTTTAATTTTCGTTATCATTTAATTTTGATACGAGCATTATTACTTTAGTTTTAGATTAATTTAGCAGCCATGAATTATTGATTGTTTGAATTGTACCGCACATTAATTTGTATCTAGTTTTTGTTCCATTCAGTCTTACTTTATTAATCAGGAAATTCTCTCTAATAAATTGTACACAAAAAATTGAACATCAATCAATCACATCCAAAAAATGAAGTGAATAATTTTTTTTAATCCTTTATGATTTTATTTTGCTGAAAATGTAAACAAGGTAAAGAGAATTAGTTTTTAAGTTTTTATAGAAATTTTTAATTGTTAAAATTCACAAAATACCTATATTGAATTTATTTAAAATTCAATTCTTTTTAATGAAAACTAGTGTATCGGGTAGAAACCCAATGCGGATATATTCACACCGTACCATCAAAAGTCTTATGGATAGACCAAGATTTGCTCAGCATAAGTTTGAAGGGTGGGCGTGATTGCACAGTTCAAAAGATATACCTAATTTATGTCATAATTATGTCAGCTACAAAAACACTTAGTTTGAATTTTGTCACCCTCGGAAACACTATGAACCAGTATAGCTGATTTTGGTCCAAATCTCGGCCATACTTCACACTTATTTGAACCACATTTTCTGGTAAATGTTAAAAAGTAATTAATCCTGAATTATGTCGCTATTTTGTCAAGTGTTTTAAGATAAAGAATTTGTTTTTTGCAGAGGGCGAAGCCGACTCGAATTTTGTATGGAAAAGTCGACTTGAGTTCACTCGACTTCATACAAATTTCGAGTCGACTTCGCCCTCTGGTTTTTTGGTTTCCAAAGTGAAGAGTATGAACAAAATTCAGATGGGGTAGTCGAAATTTTAGATTTCGTTTTTTAAAGCTATGCATTACAAAAAGTAAAATTGGTATGTGATTTATGTCAGAATTATGTCAATTCAAATAAAACATCCAAAAAATTTTTTTGACAAAAGTACACCATAGAAAATCAATTTTCAATTTTGGACTAGGGGCGACCCTAGTCAAAATCAATTTTGTCACTTTTTTTCTTCGAGGGTTTATACAAATGGATTGAAACTTTGTATAAATATTCTAATGCTTAAAACAAATACAAATAAAACATCATAAAATTTTTTTGAGCAAAGAACCAAGTAGGAAATACATTTTCAATTTTGGACTAGGGGCGACCCTAGTCAAAATCAATTTTGTCACTTTTTTTCTTCGAGGGTTTATACAAATGGATTGAAACTTTGCATAAATATTCTAGTGCTTAAAACAAATACAAATAAAACATCCTAAAGTTTTTTTGAGCAAAGAACCAAGAAGGAAATACATTTTCAATTTTGGACTAGGGGCGACCCTAATAAAATCAAATTTGTCACTTTTTTCTTCGAGGGTTTATCCAAATGGATTTAAAATCTGCATAAATATTCAAGTGCTTAAAAAAAATACAAATAAAACGTCCTAAAATTTTTTTGAGCAAAGAACCAAGTAGGAAATACATTTCCAATTTTGGACTAGGGACGACCCTAGTCATAATCAATTTTCTCACTTTTTTCTTCGAGGGTTTATAAAAATGGATTGAAACTTTGCATAAATATTATAGTGCTTAAAACAAATACAAATAAAACATCCTAAAATTTTTAGAACCAAGAAGGAAATACATTTTCAATTATGAACTTGGGACAGGTCCAGTCAAAATCTAGTTTTTCACTTTTTTCTTCGAGGATAAATCCAAATACAGTAAAACTTTGGATGAGCATTCTAATCTTCAGGTCACACATTTCTAAATTAATAAAAATCATTTTTTTGGACAAAATTTTAAGTAACGTTGTTATTGAATGTACAACCAAATTTATAAAATTTGGGTCTGACGACATATAGAATACATTTCTTGCTTTAGATATTTAAAACTGTTATTTAAGATATTTAATTTTAGGATGTTTTATTTGTATTTGTTTTAAGCACTAAAATATTTATGCAAAGTTTCAATCAATTTGGATAAACCCTCGAAGAAAAAAGTGACAAAATTGATTTTGACAAGGGTCGCCCCTAGTCCAAAATTGAAAATGTATTTCCAGCTTGGTTCTTTGCTCAAAAAAATTTTAAGATGTTTTATTTGTATTTGTTTTAAGCACTAAAATATGTGTGCAAAGTTTCAATCCATTTGTATAAACCCTCGAAGAAAAAAAGTGAAAAAATTGATTTTGACTAGGGTCGCCCCTAATCCAAAATTGAAAATGTATTTTCTACTTGGTTCTTTGCTCAAAAAAATTTTAGGATGTTTTATTTGTATTTGTTTTAAGCACTAAAATATTCATGCAAAGTTTCAATCCATTTGTATAAACCCTCGAAGAAAAAAGTGAAAAAATTGATTTTGACTAGGGTCGCCCCTAATCCAAAATTGAAAATGTATTTCCTACTTGGTTCTTTGCTCAAAAAAATTTTAGGATGTTTTATTTGTATTTGTTTTAAGCACTAAAATATTTATGCAAAGTTTCAATCCATTTGTATAAACCCTCGAAGAAAAAAAGTGAAAAAATTGATTTTGACTAGGGTCGCCCCTAGTCCAAAATTGAAAATGTATTTCCTACTTGGTTCTTTGCTCAAAAAAATTTTAGGATGTTTTATTTGTATTTGTTTTAAGCAATTAAAAGATTTATGTAAAGTTTCAATCCATTTGTATAAACCCTCGAAGAAAAAAGTGACAAACTGATTTTGACTAGGGTCGCCCCTAGTCCAAAATTGAAAATGTATTTCCAACTTGGTTCTTTGCTCAAAAAAATTTTAAGATGTTTTATTTGTATTTTTGTAAGCACTAGAATATTTATGCATAGTTTCAATCCATTTGTATAAACCCTCGAAGAAAAAAAGTGAAAAAATTGATTTTGACTTGGGTCGCCTCTAATCCAAAATTGAAAATGTATTTCCTACTTGGTTCTTTGTTTAAAAAAAATTTTTTGGATGTTTTATTTGTATTTTTTTTAAGCACTAGAATATTTATGCAAAGTTTCAATCCATTTGGATAAACCCTCGAAGAAAAAAGTGACAAATTTGATTTTGACTAGGGTCGCCCCTAGTCCAAAATTGAAAATGTATTTCCTTCTTGGTTCTTTGCTCAAAAAAATTTTTTTCATCCAAAGTTTAATTTAAAATAAAAAAAAATCACAGTGAACTTTTAATTTAAAAAATTCGTAAGAAAGGAAAGTTTTTTGCTTTTTCTGAAGCAACGGCTGTTCCTGCCTTACCCAAAAACAATACAGCTCTTTTATAGAGCAGTACGGATCAAATGTAAAAAACTAGAAGTCTCTACAATGTCTCGTTATTGAGATTTCTTGCTGATTAACTTGCTTGCTTGCTTGTCTGCTTACAGAAAGCGTATTTTGCGATTTTCTCAGCAATGCCACAACCAATTTGAAATCTGTTTTTTGAAAATGATGTAAAATTGCAGGCATAAAATTTTCTTTTGTGACCTTTTATAACCAATTTTGCTTTGTTTTCTCACAAAATGCGAAAAACTGATTTTTTAAGCTGAACAAAACCAATAGATTCACACGTGAAAACGGTGTGAATATAAAAAAAAAACATTTAAAATGAAAAAAAAAATAACAACCGGAATCTGTTTTCCACAAATCTTAAATAAACATTATACTTACTATCAATAAGATGAAGATTACAACAATTCATTTTTTGCTTCTTCTTCATCATCAGACTTTCTTTCAAGCAATCCTTTATGAGATGAAGAGTACATAGATTCATACAAAGGATTAGAAAAATGACCCTAATGAAAATAAATAAAAGTAAATGTTAGCCAAATTATTATAATAAAAAAAAAACAATTAAATGCAAGGCGTTATGCTCCGGATCATTCTTAAAGTGCAACAAATCCTGATAATGCTTATTAAATCAGGGATTTCTCTTGATGTCATCATAAAAGTTTTGAAATACAACATAACAAATTTTTTCTTGAGTAATTACGCCTTGATTGTGTATTAATTACCAACTAGGAAAATCAGATATCTTCTTTATTTACTATTAACAATTTGATGTAAGAGCAGATAGTAAGAAAATATGATCATACCTTTTCATCCTCGTTGTTAGAAATACTTGTAACAGGTAAGTTTATGTCATCTCGTTCCGTAGCCAAAAAATCGAAAATTGGATTTGTTATTTCTTCAACATTTTCATTCAATCTAGCATGTGCGAAAAATCTTACTCGTCTTTGCCACTTTCTTAGATAAAATACAGTTAGAAAAGCAAGTGTAGACATCAAAATTAATGCTAATAAAAGAACTAATATCAACGAAAGAGTTTCATGCTGATTATTAAACATTTCTGAAGCAATAACATCAGGATGTTCGGAGCTTTCACCAAGACTTGAACAAGCTTGTATGTGTCCGTCGTTACACCTGAAAATTATTATTATTGTTATTTGAGTAAAATAAATCATAAACTTATAGTTTGATCTTACAAGCATTCGTTGATTGAAGAACTATCATTACAATTTCCACACTCATCAATGCATTTTGGTGGTAATTCACAAAATTTCCCAGACCACTGACCAACACACATACACGATTCAAATCCATCAATATATTTGCGACAAAATCCACCGTTTTCACAGTTCATATCACAACTTGGTAGATTTTCTGGGCAGTTTAAACATATTTTTACTTCTTTTTCACATCGGTCTCCTGTAAAATTTTCATCACAATCACATACAGGCCCTTTTATATTTTCAATATGGCATCTACCATTATTTTGGCAATAATCTTTACACCTATCAACTTCACAAAATAATCCTGTATATCTTTCAGAGCATACACATCTAAACTTATTCATTGAGTCCCGTTGACAAGTTCCTTCATTTATGCATTGTATAGCATCACATTTTTCACAGAAGTCACCATTAAAGCCAGCGGAACAAACACACAATTGAGTAATTGTTCCATTTTTGTTTTGTTGATATTGACATGTCCCTCCATTATGACAAATGATGTCCTAAGAAAGAATATAAAACTTTTAATTAAATTTTAACTTTTAAATATGACAAATTTTTGTTTACTTTGCAAATTGATGGTGGTATTTCACAGCGAGGACCTTTCCAACTTTCAGTGCATTTACATGATCTTTTCAGTTTTAGTTCTTCTCTACTTAATGACATATGTTTACTCGGTAATGTACAAACTCCATGATTTTTACAATAACCTGAGCATATATAATGTTCACACACATCTCCTTCATACTGAGGCAAACAATCGCAAACCTGTTCATCATCAATATACTTACAAACTCCTCCATTTTCACAGTTTTTATAGCACAAAGATGGTATTTGTGATCTATGCAAACAAGAAACGTGTGATCCATTTTTTTGGATGTATAAATTATCTGGGCAGTTACATGATCTTCCACTTTGGTCTACAGATGACAAAAAACATATGGCTGTGTGTTCGCATGGATAAAGTTGACAAGGATTTGGTAAAGAACTATTGTGTTTTAAAGTATGAATTATTTTAATGTCCGAAGCTTTATATCGGTATGGACCATTACTTATTTCTTCATAATTTTTCTTTAAGCCGAACTTATTTAGTTTTAAAATTGTTTGGTTTGTCATAACAACATACAAATCATCTTCGAAAACATCCAATTTATTTGGACTAATATGCATGTGGTTATATGAGTTTATATCATTGAATTTTCTAACTACTTGTCTATCTTGCCCTTCTAATGTGACTGTCTCTATAGTCGATTTTCTAATATCACACCAATATACTCTTCTTGAAGGATAATCAATCGCTAATCCAGACGCAAATTCAATATTCTCCATTACTAGCCTCTTTTTATGAGCACCATCCATGCTTGCAATGTATATAACTCTCAACATTGTACTCCAAATCATTCTTCTACTTTCCGGATCAACAACTATATCCCACGAATTTGTTCCTCCATCAATTATAGTTTTCTTAGATCTCCCATGATAATCTATTGATTTTATCATATCATCTTCAATCATATATATCTTAAAAGTAATCCAATCAATACTAATGGACTTGAGAATCGTATTTTTCACCTTATTTGTTGTTAAAACAGTTGAATTTCTAGCATCATATCCTTTGTTCTTTATTTCTTCAAAGTCATGTTTGGTACTCATTTTAATACTTTGAAGATTATTTGATGGCATTGAATCAACCCAAAAAAGAATAATATCATTTTCTTCATTCGTGACGAAATCAAAGGAAGAAATTTTTGATGAATTGGTTTTAATAAAACTATGAACAGATCTAACTTTAGATCTTGTATCATTTGTCTGAGCTCTTTGTATGTCTGATTCATAACTAAGTTCATATATAAATCTCAATTCAGATTCGGATGCAGTAAATATTAAGTGTTGTCCATTAATTGCTTTGCATGTTCCATTTTTTAATGAACTTTGTTTATGATATCCAATTGCACATTTGCATTGTATCGAATTCTTTGGACCTTTTTCAACACATAGTTGACTGCAAATTCCAAATTTACATCCTACATTAATATAGCTTGAATCGATAATTCCAGTTCTATTGCAATTTTTTTCATCACTTCCATCTCCACAATGATCAATATTGTCGCTGTCGCATATATAATATTTTGGAATACATTTTCCGTTTAAACATTTGATTGCGTTACCAGCACAAGAGCGACTTAGACATCTTGAATCATGCTCATCACTATTATCCGGGCAATCTGACAATCCATCGCACAACCAGTCATTAAGTATACATTTTTCGAACTCTCCTCGACACTTAAAATCATTGAGTTGACATCCGCAATTTTTTTCATCACTATAATCATCACAATCTAGTAATGAACAGAATAAGAAGATCTATTGATATTATTACTTTTAAAATTATTGTAAATCTCAACTATACCTGATTCACCGTCACATAAAAAACTTTTACTGATACATTGAACCTGATTTGCACATTTAAACATTGTGGATTCATCACATGCTATTGGACAGTTTTCTTCATCACTAAAATCGTTGCAATTGTATTCTTTATCACATCTTAAAGAAGAATAAACATGTTTGATAAAATTTATTGAAAATTCAAGTCATAATAAAATAGAAACAAATAAAATAAACGATACCTTAGTGATCCTTGTATGCATCTACCATCATTACATTTAAATTCAGATTCTGAACATTTTCTTTGTGGACAATTTGCTTCATCTGAAGAATCTTCGCAATCGATTTCTGTATCACATCTCCATCGTCCGGGGATGCATAATCCAGTAATATTGCATTTAAAGTAAGTTGAGTCGCATGAATCATTTTTTGGTAAATCGTCACATTTTGCTTTTACTCCCTCATCTTCGCCATTCGGGCAGTCCGCATCACCGTCACAGACCTTTAAAAAGAAATCAAAATGTTAGCATACAAATATGATTGCGCTTTTTAAAGCTTATTATAAATTTCTTCATACCCAATTGGCTGGAATACAACGACCAGTAGAACATCTAAATTCTGTTTCAAAACATTGTCTATCGTTGCAGTTTTTTTCATCACTTCCATCTTTAAAATGTATAATTAAGGTATTTTTTTATTTTAAGTTAAAATTAAAAACATAAGTTAATTACCTAAACAATCAGCGTCCTCATCACATTCCCAAACTTTTGGAATGCAAGAATTGGTTGTAACACATTTAAATTGGCCTGAAGTACATGATTTAGCGGGACAGTTTTTTTCGTCATTTCCATTTGGACAGTCAGCTTCGCCATTACAACTAAGTTTAAAAAAAAATTAAATTTTAGGCACAATATACTACACATATTACACATTATTTTACTTACGCTTTAGATTTTGGTATACAATATACAGAACTATTAACTGTTTTTTCACATTGAATGCTGTTCTCAATAAAGCATCCATACTGTTCGCAATTAGCTTCATCACTTTCATCTATGCAATCTTTATTTCCATCGCATAACTTTGAAGCATCTAAGCAAGTTGCCTTGTGATTTTTTTGAATTACTCTTGAGCTTGTATTTTTGGAAATACTATCACATTGAAATTGTCCTGGAGTGCAGAAAAAATTTTCTGGACAGTTTTCCAATTCATCCTCTTGATACTCACAATCTGCGTGTTTATCACATTTCCAAAAGAATGGAATACATCGAACTGTTTTCTTGCAATGATATTGAGCTGCTGTGCAATTTGCAACGCACGTTTTTAAATCATTGGCAAGGTAAAAGTTATCTGGACAGTCACATTTATAGTACGGTGGGTTGGGTGACAACAAACATAAGGCAGAGCAGTTGGCATAGTGGCACGGGTTATCCTTTACGTTTGTTAAATCTAGTTTTTTCTTAAAACTTGAATCCTTTTGCTTAAAATCTTGCTTACGTTTTGATAAATTTTCATTAAAAATACTTGAAATCATTTTTCGTTGCTTAATAGGATGGTAAATTTTTAAATCCATTGGTCGATGAATAAGTTTAAGAAGAGTTCCACAATTTTTACCTGTATACTTATCACAAAACTCAATACTTTTGGCTTCCCAATCAGAAAAATACACACGATTTTCCCAAACAGCAATTGAGAAAATATGATGCAAATTTAAATTAGGATTAAATTTGCGGTGTGCAACAACTTTTCGATTTTTTCCATCCAAATCGCAAACAGATATGAAATCTTCTCTTGCATCACCAAAGAAGAGTTCGTTGGTTTCAAAACTTATTGTCAATGCATTTGGCCATCCAAGATTTTTGGTTATAATAAACTCAGGGTTAGAACCGTCCATTCCTGAGAGTCCGATATGTGGTTTCAAACCCCAATCTGTCCAATATATATTTCTTCTATAAGGGTCTAGAATGATAGCTCGGGGTTCATCTAAATCTTTATTGATTAAAATTTTCCTATATCTTCCGTTGTCTTTGGAAACTTCTATAGTTTGACGTCCTTTGTCACACCAGTAAATATTTTTTCCAATCCAGTCAAATGCAATTCCGTCAGGATTTTTCATATTTTGTTGATGTAAAACTTCTCGATTAATTACTTTATTTCCTTCCAATTTTGCACGGACTATTTCACTTTTTGATGTTGTAACATCAGAAAAATAAATATAACTCTGGCTCCAATCATAATCAATTGCTACAGCATTCGATAAGTTGTGTAACAATATTTCAGAATTACCATTCAAATCAACATTTCTAATGTAAAATCGATTAGAAAATATTATTTTCGGATGTTCAGGTGAATCAATCTTGCACGAATTCCCATCTTCTATATAACCGTCTAGGCATTCACAATGATAAGAACCATATGTATTAATACATATTTGGGAACATGGTCGACTTTCACATTCATCAATATCTTCACAATGATATGAATTGTTTGGATCTTTTTGAAAACCATTGTTACAAGTACATTCATATCCGATTTTCAAATCTATACAATTATGTTGACAGTTGACGAATTCGCACTCATTAACATTACATTTTTCTTCATCAGAAAAATCTCCACAATCATTTAATCCGTCACACGTTAAGTTTAAATCAATACAACTTCCTTCTCTGCACAGAAATTTTTTAGGATTTCGTTTACAGTATAATGGGAAATCTTCACAAAGTGTTTCATTTTCGTCACTTGCATCAGAACAGTCGACTTCTAAGTTGCACATTGCTTTACGGTCAATACATTCGTGATTGTTGCATTTGAATTCATCCTCATTACATATCTTTATTTCTACGACAGAATATGGCGGAAGTAAGCATAATTCAGATTCGTCTGTATGATCATCGCAATCAAAATTTCCATCACACATTTCATTTTTCTCAATACATTGCCCATTTAAGCAAGTCATTTGATAAGGTGAACAAGTTTTTGGTTCAATAGTAACTGTTGAATAAAAAAAAATATTATCTTTGAGGATTATTTTGATAATATTTGATTATGAAATCAAAGTCTAGACTTATAAACGTCTGGATATGAAACTTTAAAAAATCTTAAATTTAAAATTACTGTGATAAAATGTAATAAAACAAAATAATACTTACTGGTTTTGTTTGGACATTTGTTTTCATCAGATCCGTCTATACAATCTTGAACGTTATCGCAAACAAATGATAGGGGGATACACATTTTTTTGTCTTCACATGAAAACTGACCAATTGAACAATGATATTTGCAATCACTTTCATCTGAACTTTGTTTATCTAATTGTCCATCTTTGCAGTCATCATCGCCATCACACACATATTCAAAATTTATACATTTCCCATTACTGCATTTGAACTGCTCATCAGTGCAAGATTTGGTTTCATTTTTTGATGGACAATTAATTTCATCACTCCAGTCCCAGCAGTCATTTTCTCCATCACAGAGCCATTCTTTCATGTAGCATGCGGTTGTTTTATTGCAAGGAATTAGTTGACGTTCCGTTGGTATTGATTTGGTATTTTCGGCGTGAAAAATTTCTCTTAGTGCACTACAATCTCTTGATTCGCAACCCATTTCATCGGATGCATCTTTACAGTCAGCATCATTATCACACTTGTACTTCATCTGAATACATTCTCCACTTGCACATTTAAATTCATTTATTGAACAACCGCAATTATCCTCATCACTTCCATCACCACACTGTGATACTCCATCACATTTTTCATCCTTGTTTATACACCTAAAATTTCTACACTGAAAGAAAGCTTCTTGTGGACATACTCTTTTTGAACAAAAATTAAGAGATTCGTCGCTATTGTCAGAACAATGTTGGATGTCATCACATGTAGTTAAAATTGGTATACATTCACCACTTTTGCATTGAAATTCATATGTGGAATTACAATTCGAAATTTTCTTGTCCCTCAATAAGCATTTTTTTCCATCAGGGGATAGGAAACCCTGTGAACATTCACACTTTATGTTATTTCCATGTGGTAAACAAACATCTTCACAACCTCCATTCAGTAAAGCACAAGCTCCGTTTGTACACTGTTTGGCTTGATCATAGGCAACAAAAATACCCATAGGATGTTCAATTTCTTTTTTTAAATAAATCACATCATTTCCAGAATATTTATTTGCACGTAATACAGCATGAAGAGTCCAATCACTCCAAAATAGAAAATCTTTGAATACTGTTAAAGAAAATGGATGCTTTGGAGCTGATTGTGAAAGAATAATACAATTTCTGCCATCATAGTCACATCTTTCAATTTTATCTAAACGTGCATCGCCCCAATAAATTTTTTTATCTTCAAGATCAAGTGTTAGTGCGTTTGGTACCATTATATCTTTTGTTATAATATTTTCATTTCCATAACCAGTTATATAAATTCGTGATATTGTGGGTGCTTTGCTGTTCCAATTACTATAATAAATCATGTTCATACATGGTTCAACAACAATAGCTCTTAGCTTATCTGCTCCCATTTTAAGCTTTAGAACTTTTCTGATTGAATCATTTAAATCTTTATTTACAATAGTTCCATTTTTAAAAAGGTTCAAATCTATATTTCTAATTTCAGCTTCAGTATGTAATGTCCAGAAAAGATTATTATCCTGAGGATTAAAAGCAATACCTTCAACTATATGCTGATTTTCTAGCAATTTTTCAAATTTTGTTCCCTCAAAATTTGTCAAGCAGATTGCGTTTTGACGAATATCTGAATAATAAATTAATTCATTTTTATAATCATAGCTTAAAGCGACAACGTGCTGAAGGAAGCTTTGACTTTGAATGGTGAAACCTGTTGAATTGCTTTCATTTAAAATATCGATTTTCTCAATAGCATCTTTTTTGGAAAAGAATATTTGGTTTTCATATTTTCGACAACTTCTTCCATCATATTGATCGAGGTATCCATTTGAGCAAAAACAATTTGGATCTGTTCCATTGAAAAGACATAACTCAGTACATCCTCCATAATCTGGCATACTGCATTCGTTAACTCCACTTTGTTTTTTAGTAGAAAATATTTTTAATGTTTTTAATTGATTAGAAAGTGAGGACTTTAATATGGTTGTGTTTGATAAATCATTAAGGTTTACAACTTTTAACATTCCAGTTCCTCTTTCGGCCCAATATAAGTTTTTGTCAATTAAATCTAAAGAAATTGGGTTTTGTATATTTGTCAAATTCAAATTTGTTTTACCGTTTCCATCGTAATCAATTTTCAAAATTTTGTTCCTTTTGGTATCACACCAGTAGATTTGTGTATTTTCAATGTCTATTATGAAATCATTAATTGAGCCTTCAGGTTTTTTGGTTATCAATCTTAGATCAGTTCCATCTAAATCTATACTATAAACTTTATTTTCACCAGATAAGAAAAATAAAAGTCCTAATTTTGGATCAATTCTAATAATTGTTGGTTTCTTAAGTTGCCATGCAATAACTTTGCGGAATGTTCCGTCATAGCGTGAAACTTCTATTAAACCACGTTTTTGGTCTGTCCAAAAAATATTCTGTGCCATCCAATCAACAGCAACTCCTCCAAGCCAATCTCCATTAAACTGATCAAAGTCAAACGAGTTCAAAACCGTTTTTCTAGAACTTCCATCTTTCTTTATCCTTATTATCTCTCCTTTTTCATGATCAGAAAAGAATATAAGATCAGTCGCCGAATCGTAGTCTAATGAGCTAATAACATTCATTCTTTGTAATGGAGTAAGAAAAATTTGTTTCCGTGGAAGCTTAAGTGAAAGTCCTTTCACTTCATAATCTAATGAATATATCAAAAAATCGTCTTCGCTCACACACTTTGCCATATCTCTTGAATCGATATAATATCCAATGGCACATTTACAAACATAATCTGATTGTCCTTTTGGAATGCATAAATGATCACATTTGCGTTGATTAACATTACCATTTTGCTGTAAAAAGCATCCATTGATATCTGTTGCATCATTATCAACATCAAAAAGAGACATCAATTTTAGTTGTTTAATGTTTGGTGTATTTTTACGGTACATTTCAGGTTTTTTGCATGCAGACTTATCGCACTTTCTAATGGATGATGTTGAGTTTTCTCCAAAATATATAAATTCATCATAAATTTCTAAGCTTGTTATTAATAGATCTACATATTCACTATCTAAATCTTTTTCTCCATAAAATGTATTAACCAATTTTAGAGCATCAGTTTTTAAGTCTCTAAAAAAGATTTTACGATAATTTTTAATAAAATACAATCGTTGCGATTTTGAGTCATGTATTAACGAATGTATAATTTCGTCCTCTGTTAATAGTAAAATATCATTTGTTCCATCCATATCACATTGTCGAATTTGGTAATGTTTTTTATCAATTGTCATGATATAGAATATTTTTCTTAGTTCAATAGCAGCTATCAGATCATAAATGTCACTAACATTGTCAAGTATCTTTGACAAGTATTCTCCTTTTAAATTTGATACAAGTAAGCGGTGACTCTTATTAGAACCGAGATTTTCTGATTCCGATTCTGGAATAGGTTGAGAAAAAAACATCAATTCAGATACAAAATCTATTGCGAATCCATGAACATTGTCTATTTCCACATCGAGAATTGTTTCAATTTTTTGATCAGATGGGGTTATTGAAGTTGATAATTTAACACTCTTAATCTCTCTTAACTGTATGTCAGACCAAAATATTCGCTTTTCTTTAGGATTTACTGCAATATGATTAGGCATAATTATTTGAGATGTATGATAAATTGTTGAAATGGCAGATGAATAAGGATGTTTCAACTCGATTGCTCTTATTTCAGATTTATTTGTTATATAAAACATAACATCTTTAATTTTTTCGCAAACATGCTCATTTTCACCTATTCGCATCATATGAGGGCATGCACACTTAAATGTATTATTTTTATTTAATAGGCATAAATGAGAACAAGGCGAATTTTCGCAAGGTGAAGTGATTTCTTTAGCAGTTCCTTCGCCGTTAAAATCCCAGGGTTGTCTACTTGGATGCATAACTTTCACATCAAACGGTTGTATTGCAGCTTGATAAAAAATTGTTACGTTGCTTCCAGTAAATTTATTTGCCGTAATTATAGCGTTTAAACGCCAGTCTGACCAAAACAGATTATTTTCATAAATTGTTATTGAAAAAGGATGATGTAAATAGTCTGTGTTCCTTAAAATTCTTTTGTGATCTTTTCCATCATAGTCTATCGTATGAATTTCCTTCGATTTCGCATCAAGAAAGAATATCCTTTTCTTTGTATAATCTATTGTAATTCCATTTGGCCATGCGCCATTGATTGTTTTTAAACTGAATATTTTCATTCGTTCATCTCCAGAAAGAGTTGATCTTTCAATTCTTGGCTCATCTTCATCCCAATCCGAAAAAAATAAATAGCCAATGCGTGAATCTAACGCTAATGAACGAGGTTTTGAAATGTTTTCAGATATTAACGTTGTTCGATGCAAACCATCTTTTGTAGCAACTTCAATATTTTTCAAGCTAGCATCTATCCAATAAACATTTTTTCCTATCCAATCAACCGCTACAGCTTCCGTAGTTGACAAATCCGATTCAACAATAACCCTGATATTGTGAAGTTCATCTCCTCTTAACTGACCCAAATAAATTTTGTCTTTTGTTATATCAGACCAAACTATTTCATAAGATTTTGAGTGTCTGTCATAAAAGAAATCTGTTCCTATTAAATTTTTAGATTTTGTGTAATAATTTTTGACTTCTTTTGGTGATTTTAGATTCACTCCTCGTAAGATATGGCGATTACTTATCAATAAAATAGGTTCAATTTTATGATCAGATTCGCATGTAAAGTTATCAGATTTAATATGATATCCATGATAGCACTTACATTTTATTTTAATAGGATTTAGTTGAAGGCATAAATGGTCACAAGACGAAAAGTTATCACAAATTTGAGGTTCGGAACATGATCGTTCGTTTGATTCTAATGTCATATGTTGAGGACAAGAGCATACAAACCCATTTGGATTTGGTGCATTATGGCAAAAGAATTGACATTCGGAAAAATGATCACATAATTTTTCAGCACATCTTCCTAATTCGTCTGTTTTGTCAGAGCAGTGATTTATTCCATCACAAAAATTGTGAACAGGAATACATTTTCGATCAATTTTACAATAAAATTCCGGGTATTTACAGTCATTTGCACTAACGTCAAAATCTACATCTATAAAATCGTCGTCATCCTCACCAGGATCTTCATAATCGATATTTAATATGCTTTCATTTGAATGTGTAAATGATGGAATAATTTTTTTACAATCTTTTTCGTCGCTGTTATCACCACAATCATCATTTCCATCACACTTTTGTTCCAACAAAATACATTGCGAATTTTCGCACAGGAATTCATCACAATAATCATAAAAGAAACTATCAACGTACTCATCCAAATGAGTTTTATTATGACAAGTTTTTATGGTTTCGTCACTTTCATCATTACAATCTTTTGTGCCATCACACACTTGATGTTGCTTAATACATTGTTGATTATCGCATTTAAATTCGCATTTTTCTTGGCAGGGACCATCGGGAATTATACTTTCATCACTTCCATCGAAACAGTCGAAGGATCCATCACAGACATATTTGTGATCTATACATTCGTCACCAGATTTACAAGAATATTGAAATTTTAAGCATTCAACTGTCGGTTTTAAAGTAGTTCTAGTGACAATAGAAGATGCAATGCAAGATGTCCCCATTCCATTTTTACTGAAACCATCACCACATAAGCATACACCACCAGTTGGTGTATTAAGCCACAATCCAGGACATTTTATTTGGAGTTCATTTTCCACATGATCTGCATATTGGCTTGCATCAGCCATTTTCAAAAAACTTTTTTTATGAGCTGATTCAAAGTAAATTTTTGATTCATTGCTAAAGTTTATATTTTCTGTACTGACATGTTCAATTATGTTTTTTATGTTATCAGTCCAAAAAATTGATCCTGCTACCACTGTCATCGATTGGGCATACGAATTTCCCAGTTTAATTTGCTTATGAACTTTTATTCCCTCTAAATTTATACTGCCGATTGTTTGACTTAAAACATCTAGCCAATAAAGTTTTCGAGTTTCTTTATAATATGTTAGTGATATTGGCCAATAGATAGATATGTTTGTATTAGTTGATTTCGATATTAGTACATCTCTTGATGATCCATCCATCCATGACATTTCAATTTTTCCTCCTATGTTGTATCTCTCAGCAAATGAACTCCAAAACATTACGCCTAGACGAAATAATAGTGTTAATTATTAATATCTATATGTGTATTTATTAAATTATCATTTACCATTTTCAACGTCAAGTGCTATTGATGAAGGGCCTATAATATCCTTACTAATTAATGTTTTGACAGTAAAATTATAGGAAGACGTTTCTTTTAATTTCAGTACTGCAATTTTATATTTTGGAGCTGATGATGCAAAAAATAAATTATTTCCGATCCAATCATAACACATTGATTGAATTATTCCAAAATCTCCTTTAATTATATCTTTTAACGATCCATTAAAGGAATGACGTTCTACTATACTTTCCTGGATGCTATAACAAATAAAATACAGATATTAAAATTGAAATTGAATTATATTTTTTTTAAACTTTTCTTCAGTGAAACATACTTATTAGATTCTGTATTTGTAGAGAAGTAGATTAATTTTCGGTTTAAATCAAAGTCAAATGCAATACTATGTTTTATACCAAGTATTGGTGATATTGTAGTTTCGGAAGGATTATTAACATCAATGGCTTTTAAAATCTTTGTTTTAGCATATTCCTCTACAAAGGCAATAATTTTTTTTGTGTCTTTCAAAACACATTTTCCGTTTTCGAGAAAATATCCTTCCTTACAGATGCATTTCTCTTTAATTTTTTTAATTCCATTAATTTCTTCTAATTTCGGGACACATATATGATCGCACTTTTTATTTTCAGAGCATAATTTGAGATTAAGCACAGGTTGTATTTGCTGATGGAATATCTTTAAAACTTTTGTATTCATTTTCAAGTTTTCAGCTAGAGTTTTCTTAAATGTCATCGATGATTTACTAATCTGTATTATTGATGTATTTTTGTTGATAGCACCGAAAAACATATTTTCAAAAAATACTATTCTATGAAACTTCATTAAAGGTAGTTTCTGAAGAAATTTTCTATTATTTCCATCGTAATCACATTGTTGAATGAAATCAAAGTAGTAATCAAGAAAATATATTCGCTTGACAGCCACATCTAAAGATAAGTCATGTGGGTAAAAAATCTTTTTTCCAATTAAATTTTTATCAAATCGTCCGTCCATAAAATATCTTTCAATAGATGCACTTGTGCGATTTTTTGTATCATATTTCATTAAAAATAAATATCCAGCGGTTGGATCTACAGCAATTTTTTTTATTTTAATTGAGTTATTCTGATCTGTTTCGACCAATATCCGACAGTTGATCATATTATAGCGGCAAATGAAAATGAAATTATTTACGCCATCCAAAAAATACCAATTTCTGGAAATCCAATCCAATGCAAATTCTGATATGAGGATATTCGATGAGGCTATATAATATTTCAAAGAAAAATTATCAAGGATTAAAATAATTTTTTCTATTGATTTTTTTTTAAAGATTTACTTACTTTGGGAAATGGGCATAAAATCGGGAGGAGGAAGTTTCCATTTATTCATGAAATTTGATACATTGTAGCAATATATTTCGAAGTTTTCTAAAACACAAACTGAATGGTTTCTAATGTCCACTTCCATTGTTATTAAATTGGATAGCTTCAAAATATGCTCAAGTATAACTGGAGAAGAATTTTCATCATCAGAATGATTTTTATTAGACGGGAGCGTGATCTTTAATATTTCTTGGGGTGTAAGAATGAATAACAATGTTGCAGCATTCGATGGATCTGTATTAAATTGTAAATCATTAATTTTTTTCTATTGCAGATTATAAATTAAAAGAAAATCTAGACAAGGCGTTAACACTAGGGATTTATGATATCCTTTCTTCCATCTTGATATTGTTTGATATTGAACAAATTATTTAATTTTTTTTTATTGATAAAGCCAGATGATACTTTGTTTAACTTACAATTTATACCAACACATTTTTGATTTATTCTTTCGTATCCAGACGTACATAAACATTTATTTTTCTCTTTGAAAACTGTACAAAGTTGGTCACACGATTCATCATTATATTCATTTTCATTGCATGATTTTTGTAAAGTACAATTTGTTCCATTGACGATATCCTGACTTAAAGGACAGTAACACTTTGGTCCAAGAGGTGTCATTCTACAGTCATGTTCACATTTCAATAGTTTACACGGTGAATTAGTTTTACACACTAGCTCGTCGTTTTCACAATCAATATTGCCATCACAAAATTTAGATATATGCAAACATATCCCATCTGAGCATGGTAATTTGTTGTTTGGGCATTTTTTAGAACAATTCAAAGAATTTTCTTCATCGGTTGGATCTAACAAATTAAATTTGCCTATTAAGCCACAATCATTTTCTGAATCACATTGCCATTCTTTAGGTATACATTTTCTTGAATATTTGCAATGCAAAAAATTTTCATTATCACACTCATTTTGAATTATTGAAATTTTCTCGCATTCTGATAAATTTTCGTCACTTCCATCATCGCAATCATTTGAGAAATCACATCTCATTTGAAGAGGAATACACAGGTTAGATGATTTGCATTGAAATTCATATTCAGAGCAACTGCTTTTCAATGAAAATGATGTGAGAGCATCGGCTGTAAAGTATTTGAATTTTAAAATAAATTCTTTAAATTATATTAATTGATTTTATTGAATCAGTTAAAAAATTTGAAATTGAAAACTTTTTTAAAACTAATTCAATTATAAAATAAATGAACTTGTAGCTTTGAATGACAAAGATATATTTAAATTTTGATGACAAAACTTGAATCTTCATTTTTTCAATTGAGTTAGTGTCAATCTTAATTGAATAATTTTTTATTAAAATTTCATACATCTAATATCGTTGTTATATACCAAAATTTTGACAGCTTAAAAAATTGGGTACATTTTTAAACAGAAACCAATATGCTCAGTTTATAATTTAAATATTTATAAAAATACTTGTTGCATTTGCATGTAGATTTTTTTTTTCAATTAGAGAGTTTTAAGAGATAATAGGTAAATAATTTTAAACAAAAGAAAATTGATCACAACCAGAGTTGCGACGACAGGTACCTGTCACAGGTAAAGGTGACAGTTTCTGTCAAAAGATCACCTGTCACAGGCCGTTACCTGTTCACAGGTCAAATTTTTTCGCCTATCACAGGTCTGACCTGTCAAAGGTTCTACCTGTCACAGGCCGTTACCTGTTCACAGGTCAAATTTTTTCGCCTGTCACAGGTCAGACCTGTCAAAGGTTCTGCCTGTAACAGGTCGTTACCTGTTCACAGGTCAAATTTTTTCGCCTGTCACAGGTCTGACCTGTCAAAGGTTCTGCCTGTAACAGGTCGTTACCTGTTCACAGGTCAATTTTTTCCACCTGTCACAGCTCTGACCTGTCGCAGGCCTCACCTGTGACAGGTCGTCACCTGTTGACAGGTAGAAAAAAATCTACCTGTCACAGGTTGACCTGTCACCTGTCACCTGTCACCTTTGACTATCGAAATTTTTTTCTTCTAGTGAAGTATAAAGATTTCATACAAAATTCATCAATTTTTTTGCTTCCTCAAGTCACGAGTTCAAATCTCACCGCAAGCAACTTTCTTTTTTTGCATTTTTATGATTTGTTTTTAAACTTTTTTGATATAACATTAAGTTTTATGACAAAGTTTTCCATTTTCATATTTTATTTCTTCACTTTCTATATTTTAACATTTATTTTAAATTTTTTCCATATATTTTCATACAAATTTAAATTTTTTTGTCATATTTTATCAATATTTTATACATATTTTATTTTAACAAGCTGAAATCTGATACAAAGGCTCTTTTCCTAGATCTGGATGTTCTAAAATCGTAATCTTGGATCATAAAATGGCATAAAATATTAAAACTAGTATAGACTTTGTCATTCGAGACCGCAAAAAGTCGAAATATATAAAAAATTATAATCCAAGATTACGATTTCAGAACATTTAGATCTAGGAAAAGAGCCTTTGTGTCAGATTTCAGCTTGGTAAACTAAAGTATGACAAAAAAATTTAAATTTGTATGAAAATATATGGAAAAAATTTAAAATAAATGTTAAAATATAGAAAGTGAAGAAATAAAATCAGAGTTGCGACGACAGGTACCTGTCACAGGTAAAGGTGACAGTTTCTGTCAAAAGATCACCTGTCACAGGCCGTTACCTGTTCACAGGTCAAATTTTTTTGCCTATCACAGGTCTGACCTGTCAAAGGTTCTACCTGTCACAGGTCGTTACCTGTTCACAGGTCAATTTTTTTCGCCTGTCACAGGTCTGACCTGTCAAAGGTTCTGCCTGTCACAGGCCGTTACCTGTTCACAGGTCAATTTTTTTTTGACTGTCACAGGTCTGACCTGTCAAAGGTTCTGCCTGTCACAGGTCGTTACCTGTTCACAGGTCAATTTTTTTCGCCTGTCACAGGTCTGACCTGTCAAAGGTTCTACCTGTCACAGGTCGTTACCTGTTCACAGGTCAATTTTTTCCACCTGTCACAGCTCTGACCTGTCGCAGGCCTCACCTGTGACAGGTCGTCACCTGTTGACAGGTAGAAAAAATCTACCTGTCACAGGTCTGACCTGTCACCTGTCACCTGTCACCTTTGACTATCGAAATTTTTTTCTTCTAGTGAAGTATAAAGATTTCATACAAAATTCATCAATTTTTTTGCTTCCTCAAGTCACGAGTTCAAATCTCACCGCAAGCAACTTTCTTTTTTTGCATTTTTATGATTTGTTTTTAAATTTTTTTGATAAAATATAAAGTTTTATGACAAAGAATATTTATTATATATTTCGACTTTTTGCGGTCTCGAATGACAAAGTCTATACTAGTTTTAATATTTTATGCCATTTTATTATCCAAGATTACGATTTAAGAACATCCAGATCTAGGAAAAGTGCCTTTGTGTCAGATTTCAGCTTGGTAAACTAAAATATGACAAAAAAAGTTGAATTTGTATGAAAATATATGGAAAAAATTTAAAATACATGTTAAAATATAGAAAGTGAAGAAATAAAATATGAAAATGGAAAACTTTGTCATAAAACTTTATGGGCAAGATCAAAAATGAATTGTTCGTGACGCTTAACAATAATTTACAATTTTTGAATCAATAATGCGAAATATGTATTTAAGACTTGTGTTTTTCTTAAAGTTCTTGCCAAGACCTATATTTTGGTGTATAACAAGTATCTCTTAGACATTGCAATATAATTAAAAATTAATTTAAAGTGCTAAGCGTCACGAACAATTTTGAGGAAATTCGATTTTACACCATGTTGCAAATGTAATATCTCTGCGAATACTTCATTAATCATAACGATTTTTTCACCAGATAATTAAGTAATCAGATCATTAAAAGTTTTGTCTAAAATATACAAAATGGCGGATTTGTAAGTTAGCTTAATTCAGCTTTAAAATGTTGAAGCTGAAATTTTGATATGAAGGAAATAGTTTAGGAACTAGCTTTCTTTACAAAAAAGGTAACATATGTAATTTTCTTTAAGTTTGTGAGAGAAAATTTTCAATTCTACTATAATTAACCAAGTTATGATGAGTTTTACAAAACTAGTCATAAGTCATTGCTGTGTTATTCGTCTACTGATTTTTTCATTTCAAACTATAGAATTCAACAATGTTTATCATATTGCAAAAGAAATATTACTTTTTGTTCAAGACAAGCAGAGAAAATTAAATTATAGTAAAAAATTTGACCAAAAATTTTGTAACGGTTTTTAAAATTATAAATTTGTGAGCAAATAAGAGCAAAATTTGTTGCTCAACTAAAATTTCATTGTTTTTATAGTTAATTTAACTTACTTTTAAGCCTTTTTCGAATGTAAATTAAATAGTAAAAGACTTTTTAAATATCAAGTAATTGTTCTTGACCGATTAAGGTTAATAGTTTTGATTTAAAAATACATTTTACATTCAATTTGGTTTTCAGTTAATTTAACTAAAAGAACTCATTTTTAATAAAATCTATTTTGATCACATGATAGAAAAAAGCAAGCTCTACAACTTTTGTCAAGCTTCCAAACATTTATCTTGCTTTCTTTTCAAAGAAAAATCGATTTCAAATATTAATTTGTTAATTAAACTAACTTAATAAGTCGCCATTTTGAAAAATGAATGTTAAAAAGAAACTTACTATTATTAGCTATCATGTAGTGAAGGAATCATATTAATTAAGTTATTAAAAGCAGAGAAATCTGAATTTGAATATTTATTCCCTTTTTTTCTGATCTTGCCCTTATATTTTATCAAAAAAATTTAAAAACAAATCATAAAAATGCAAAAAAAGAAAGTTGCTTGCGGTGAGATTTGAACTCGTGACTTGAGGAAGCAAAAAAATTGATGAATTTTGTATGAAATCTTTATACTTCACTAGAAGAAAAAAATTTCGATAGTCAAAGGTGACAGGTGACAGGTCAGACCTGTGACAGGTAGATTTTTTCTACCTGTCAACAGGTGACGACCTGTCACAGGTGAGGCCTGCGACAGGTCAGAGCTGTGACAGGTGGAAAAAATTGACCTGTGAACAGGTAACGACCTGTGACAGGTAGAACCTTTGACAGGTCAGACCTGTGACAGGCGAAAAAAATTGACCTGTGAACAGGTAACGACCTGTGACAGGCAGAACCTTTGACAGGTCAGACCTGTGACAGTCAAAAAAAAATTGACCTGTGAACAGGTAACGGCCTGTGACAGGCAGAACCTTTGACAGGTCAGACCTGTGACAGGCGAAAAAAATTGACCTGTGAACAGGTAACGGCCTGTGACAGGTAGAACCTTTGACAGGTCAGACCTGTGATAGGCGAAAAAATTTGACCTGTGAACAGGTAACGGCCTGTGACAGGTGGGCTGTTTTTGTTGACCTGTGACAGATCGCAACTCTGAATAAAATATGAAAATGGAAAACTTTGTCATAAAACTTAATGTTATATCAAAAAAGTTTAAAAACAAATCATAAAAATGCAAAAAAAGAAAGTTGCTTGCGGTGAGATTTGAACTCGTGACTTGAGGAAGCAAAAAAATTGATGAATTTTGTATGAAATCTTTATACTTCACTAGAAGAAAAAAATTTCGATAGTCAAAGGTGACAGGTGACAGGTGACAGGTCAACCTGTGACAGGTAGATTTTTTTCTACCTGTCAACAGGTGACGACCTGTCACAGGTGAGGCCTGCGACAGGTCAGAGCTGTGACAGGTGGAAAAAATTGACCTGTGAACAGGTAACGACCTGTTACAGGCAGAACCTTTGACAGGTCAGACCTGTGACAGGCGAAAAAATTTGACCTGTGAACAGGTAACGACCTGTTACAGGCAGAACCTTTGACAGGTCTGACCTGTGACAGGCGAAAAAATTTGACCTGTGAACAGGTAACGGCCTGTGACAGGTAGAACCTTTGACAGGTCAGACCTGTGATAGGCGAAAAATTTTGACCTGTGAACAGGTAACGGCCTGTGACAGGTGGGCTGTTTTTGTTGACCTGTGACAGATCGCAACTCTGATCACAACTAACGCATCATCCCTATTTTTGTTAATACAATGTTTAAAAATAGAATATTTCCTTCTTTAAACTGTTCAATTTATTTATTTTGAGCATTCAAAAATCACTTTTATGCAATATTGTGTGGAAAGTTCAGTACTTAAACGGTCATTCACTCTTTATTAATAGTAAATTAACAAATAAAATTCCAGAATATCTTCAATTTAGTTTAAGTATTTTTATTGCGTTTTTTCTTTTTTTCATTTATGAATAAATTCCGGTTTTAGCACTTTATAAAGCTTTTATTTATCAACTTACCATCAATCTTTTTCAATATCTTATCAAAACTTTTTATATACTTTTTATTTGATGCTGCAGTCGTTATAAAATTTAACAATATTATTGAAAAAACGTATTGCTTTAATTTTGTTAAATTCGTGCATTTCATTATTATTATTTTTTTATTCTTATTCTTATTTATTATTATATATATATATATATTTTTTTTTTGGTTTACAAAAATAGAAATTGTTTTGCCGACTGTTTTAACGCAAAATTTTCACTGAACTTTGAAACATAATTTATAACTTATATATGGATTTTGTTTAACTTAGAGTTATGTTCAATGTTTTTTAGTCTAAACTAATAAAAGCTTCTTAATTCCTTGAAATCCGAGAATAAAATGAAAATCAACATCCTTCTCCTGAAAACTTTTTTGAAAAATGATACATTTGTTCACAAATATCATCCCTTCGGACGAATCAATCAAATGCTACCTGATCGTTGCAAGAAATATTTAGGATTTTTTTAAAATATAAATTTTATTAAGAATTGTCACTCCTTTTCAAATGTATGAAGACTTAAAAAACGTAAAATGGAATCATTCAATACACTCTACTTTAAGTGTTACTTCTTAGTTCTTTCAAAAATTTCCAAATTATAATTTCGATTTAATATATTCCCCAAAAAAAGCATTTTACCCAATAAAAATTCAAACTTTACGTTTTATTTAAAAAAATCTACGAACATATTACTAACCACGTGTGTTATCTAAAATATGTTATCCAAAATTTTAATAGGTCCTGTTTTGATCAGTTTTAACTGATAAACATAACGTAAAGCTAACGCTTATTATAGGGGTCTCGTGACAAATAAATTGTACGTGAGTGACACTATAAAAGTTATTTCTCCTATTTTAATTAAGTGTCACTCAAGTAAAATTTTTGGGAATTTTGCTACATTTTGCTATATATTCATTATTTCTTGATATATCATTAGATGCATTTTTTGGGTCATAAATTTTATTCTGTTATGTTTGAGTTCATAAAAAATTTAAAATTGTTGACTTAACATACTTAAATGAACAAAATTAAATTAAAATGTTTTTAACGGTTTTTAATTTGTTTGAATTTTTTGTGTTTTAACTACCTAAGCTGTTTTGTTCTAGATTACACAATGATTCAGATTCGGAAAAAATGTTCAAAAATTCCTTGTGCACAATATTTTTCCAACACATTAGAAAATTGAAAGTTTTTGTTAATTTCTCTTGATTTGAATCTTTTAGCATCATCTACATAATGTTTTCGTTCATTGCTCAAAAAATTAGTCCCTAATATAAAGGATAAACATGATTTTTTACCAAAAGTTTGTAAAAGTTTATCAAAAAATATTGTGCATGATCAAATTTTGTATGAAAATTTATGTAAACTTTGATCGCAAATATCTCGAAAACGGCATCAAACGGCATGTCCTCAGTAATATGGGAGATAGATTTTAACTTAATTAATGGATTTATATAGGTTTCAGAGAGGTCTTTGGAAGACTTTTTAACTTATGAATAGTTTAAGTAGTGTAAAAATACTCAGATTTCAATTCCATTTTTAAGGCTTAATACGCAGATTTCTATTGAGTTGGTTGTTTTAGTATGTAAAGCTAAGCTTAAATTAGCTAGTAACTGCTTCCAAGACATCCAAATAACAACTTAAAGTAGAAAAAATCATATTTTTTTTTTCATACACAAATTGTAAACAAATTATGGGTGAGTTTAAATTAATGATTTCTGGAGTTAGACATCAAATTGGGACGAGATATTTTCATAGGATATGCCTCAAGTTAAGATCTTTAATCTGGCATTTAAAGGACATAGTTTAATTAACATGAAATTTTTGAATTTTTGAACATTTTTTTCGATTCTGAATCATTGTGGATTAGAAGTATTTAGTAAAACTTCAGAATAAAATGTTGGTCTTATAAATTTCGTTCTAAGCAATTGAATAATTGAGATTTTTAACAAATTAATTGTTGATGTTTTGATTGAATTAGTAAGATAATAATGTGTGAAGGGCCCTGCCTTTCTTTGGAGGCACTGCGATTTAATTTGTAAAGAATCTATTGTACCAAACCCTTTAGACCTAGAGTTTATAGTGGGATCCGAACCACTTGCAAGCTCTGCACATTGCAAAGACACGATTACGTCAAATTTGTAAGATAGTATTAGTGTAAAATTTAAATTTCATATTTCCATTCAGCAAAAATCCTCAAAAAAAACGTAGAGGCCTTTTAAGTAAATGTTTGATTTAATTTTTAAATTATTGATATGTTTAAGAAACCTAAAAGTATAAATTATAACTTGAATATGTGTTTTATCCAAGTTGGACTTAAGATTCATAATAAAGAAGTTTTAAGCACAAAAAATAATTTTTTACACCATAATAAATTCACTTTTTACATTGGCCATAATAGTATATTTTGGTTTTAAATTAAAAGCCTATCTCTGTATATCATTATGACTTTCTTACGATTTAATTAATGCCAACCATAATAACATACCTAATGAAATTTTTGAAACTTAAAAAAAAACGTGGGATTAACAGATAATAACAGTTGAAAAATAGCAAGTTAAAATGCGCCTTTGTCATGAGTATGTTTTAGGTAGTGACATTATTGCTTTCACATTTTCGTTCTTTTTAAAACGAGCACTTTGAAGTGAGCTCGTATTTTTTCTTGTATCAAAAATTTAAATTGGATTAAAAGCATCAACATGAGTTTGTATAATTTTAAGAAAATTATGGTGGTTCCGCCAGCAAAAGTAAGTTGTTAAATAAATGAATTAGTCCTTAATTATTAAAAAATATTAATATTTCCATTTTAACCTTAAAAATGTTTTTTTAGTCGTTCATCGATATTATGCTGTCAAGAACACAAAGAAAGACTCCAACAGTAGTACATAAGCACTACAAAATATCAAGAATTCGAGCATTCTACATGAGAAAAGTGAAATATACACAGCAGAATTTTCACGATCGCCTTTCTCAAATCATTCAAGATTTTCCAAAATTAGATGATGTCCATCCATTTTATGCTGATTTAATGAATGTTTTGTATGACAAAGATCATTACAAACTTGCACTGGGTCAACTAAATATGGCTCGCCATTTAATTGATAATGTTGCAAAAGAATATGTTCGTCTATTGAAATATGGTGATTCTCTATATCGTTGTAAACAACTGAAGAAAGCAGCACTCGGTAGAATGGCAACAATCACCAAGAGACAAGCGTCTAATTTGACTTATCTGGAGCAAGTGAGACAACATTTATCAAGATTGCCCACGATAGATCCATATACACGATCTATTATATTGACTGGATTTCCTAACGTTGGTAAATCTTCCTTTATGAATAAAATCACTCGAGCAGAAGTAGAAGTTCAACCATATGCTTTTACAACAAAGAGTTTGTTTGTTGGACATACTGATTATAAGTATCTTCGTTGGCAAATTATTGATACACCAGGAATCTTGGATCATCCATTAGAAGATAGAAATGTTATTGAAATGCAAGCAATTACAGCATTGGCACATCTTAGAGCTTGTGTGCTGTACATAATGGATATATCTGAACAGTGTGGTCATACATTAGAAGAGCAAATTCATCTTTATGAATCAATTAAGCCACTTTTTGCAAACAAACCACTTATGATTGTTATTAATAAAGTTGATATAATTAAGCTTGAAGAACTGGATGAAACAAGAAAAAATGTACTCGCAGGAGTTCTTAATGACGAAAATGTTCCAGTCATTCAGATGAGTACAGTCAACGAAGAAGGAGTAATGCAAGTTAAGATTGAAGCATGTGAAAGACTTTTAGGCTTCCGTGTAGATCACAAATTAAAGACGAAAAAGGTTGAAAATATTTTAAATCGTCTTCATGTTGCAATGCCAGAAAAAAGAGATGAAAAGGAACGTCCAACATTTATTCCTGATTGTGTATTACAGAAGCGTGAAGTAGAAAATGTTATAAAACAAAAGAGAAAATTAGAGAAAGATATCGAAGAAGAAATGGGTGATGATTATATTTTGGATTTGAAGAAACATTATGTTACAATACCAGAAGAAGAGCGTTATGATATAATTCCAGAATTTTTGGAAGGACATAATATCGCTGATTACATTGATCCAGATATATTTGAGAAATTGGAAGAATTAGAACGTGAAGAAGGCCTACGACTGGATAGTGGATACTATGAGCCACCAAAACTGAACATTGATGAAACATTGCAAGAGATTCGAGATATGGCACGACAAATTAGAACAAAACGATTTACATTGCGCGATAATAAACGCTTAGCACCGCGTGCTGATAAACCTAAGATTCCTCGACACAAATTACCTCACGTTCGTGATCGAAAGGTAGACAAATTGAAGAATACAATGGAGGAACTTGGAGTTGATATGAGTACAAAGGAAGATTCTAATTTCAACAAGAGCAAAATTCATGTACGTCGTAGTTTAGTACCTGCTATTGGTGGAAAAGCTGAAAAGAGAAAGGATAAGGAATCGTCGGCAATTGTCAAATCTACAGGTCAAACATTGAAACGAAAAGCACCAAAACATGAACTTGGATTGACAAATGTTGTTGTAAGTTTTTATAAAATTATTTCAACCATACTTATTGATTTAAATTAATTCTTTTTACAATATTAGGTAAAGAAGAAAGCTCAAATTATGGCTAAGCATGACATCGCTAAAAAATTAAAGAAAATGTGTCTCAAAGGTGAAGCTGACAGATTTATTGGTGATTTGAAACCCAAACATCTCTTCAGTGGAAAACGAGGAAATGGAAAGACAGATCGACGATAAACTTATATTTTCAAATAATATTTTACTCTTAAACATTTTATTATCCAATTGAAATTTCAAGAAACAATAAACTTCATGAAATATTTACAAACTCAATAAATCATATTGATGAAAATTATTTACTATTATAGTCACCAGAAGATTTAAATGTATAAACTGTTTTGAATCATATGGCAAATTGCGTTTTTCTTTAAAATAATCCAGGATATTTAGACAAGCTTTTGCAATCATACGAATTGAGTTGTGTACTTCTGGACATAAAGGAACTCTTAAACAGGCTAGAAATGCATATATCCATTTTCCAATCCAAATGAATTGCTCTCCTAAAATATCTTGGTTTTTTAATTTCAAATCCTCAAGATTCTCATCGAAGAAATCTGCAAGTATTTCAACGAAATTTTCGATTTGCCTGTAACTATCTAAAGTTAAAATAACAGATAGCAAAGGCTCATTGTCTCGACAATAACTAATGCACTCAGCTTCCTCTTCTATATTCATTGGAAGTTCTTTCAGCATACGATCTTCGAGATTCTTATTTCTGATAATACAAATTTTACTCCTTATATTCTCAAATAATTCTTTCTGATGTTCTTGCCATTCTTTCGACTGGAACTGCCTATCAACAGATCTTTGTACCTAAAATTATGTCATCATTTACTTTTTAAACTTAATTTAATGGTTTTTAACTATTTACCAGTTCATTTTCAACAATACAATTTTCTGGAATTTCTACCGATACAATTTCCTTAGTTTGTTCTCTTTCCAATCTTACACTTTTCAAGTATTTATGAGCAGAGATCTGAGCCAAATTGAAATTAATTTCTGAATCTGTATCACTGCCATCATCTTCAGTAGGTAAGCACTGACGTTGTGACATTTAATCAACTTTTTTGATTCAAAATTTATATTAAAATTTAATTCAACAAAATTATTGTTTGTAAACAAAGTTGTGGTGAAAAACACCTATATTCATCAAAATTCACCAAAAAACGAAAAAAAATGCTAAGTTAAAATTTAAATAAAATAACGTCGTTTATTTTATTTCATGTTTTCATTTTTAACACGATATTTCAACAGGATCTGTCAAAATTAATGCTTTCAACAGCTTGATTCAAAATAAAAGGTTCATATTTTTTCAAATCAGTCCTGCAATCTTTAGCATTTTAATTAACTATAACGTCATCATATGGAACTGGTTCGTCAATGATTTTGGAATTTACAACATTACTCCTCATTGCCTGATTTTAAACCTTTTTAATTAACTGTTATTATACTGGGCCTCGTCACAAAAAAATTGTACGTGAGTGACGCTTTGTTATTCTTGATTATCTCTTTATTCGTGTGGTTTAAAATTCCAGAAAATTTATAAATTTTACTTATAATCTCCCAGTGCGATTATAAGTCCAGATACATTTTTCTGGACTTATAATCCTTGAAAATTATTTGAAATCATTTCAAATTTTTTTCTTTAAAGCAATTATTCACATGAATTTCTGAAAACTTCACACAAAGAATTCAATTGAATTTATTTAACACTAAGAACTGCAGCTTCTAAAATGGTTCCAGTTTTAAGATATGATCCATAGGAAAAAAAGGTTCCAAAAACGTCAATTTTTTTCGATTTTCAAGAGGCTATAGCATGTCATGGTAAAGTCAAAACAAAGTCATATGGTGTATTTTTGTAAAGCTCTTGATTAGGACTATAAGAGAATATACTATAAGATAAAATATCCAGTTTGAAAAAAAGTCTGGTGCCACAAGAATTTTAAGAAAATAGACATTTTTCCTAGATTTTCTAACTTTGACAGCTTCAAAACTACTTAAAATTTGAGAATTTCGAAAAATGACTTTCCATTCCCCAAATTGCTTATGTTGTGTGATCAAATGGCAAAAGAATTATTTTCCGAGACCCATATGGCTCGGCTGTGACCCTGATCTCCAAATTTGTAGACCCAAAAAAGACGTTTTTTTGCGTTTTGAAGGCATAGATGATGTCCAAATGTAAAAGTTTATGTACAGAAAAATCAGGCCTCCTAATACACACATTTTGGTACTCTTTGAGATTTTTGAAAATGAGCCCTTCAGGCTGTATTAAAAAAAGGTTTTTTTCGTGAAACTAATAACTTACACGCTTTTGCGTGGAAATCAAAAAGGCTTTAAATCGCATTTTAAAACATATCTCGGTATTATAAATGATAAAGAATGCTAATGTAGATATAAAATCGATATTTTTTTGAAAATAGCCTCCTATGATCAAAATCAAAAATGCTTTAAATTGCATTTTAAAACATATCAAGGTATTATAAATGATAAAGAATGCTAATATAGATATAAAATCGATATTTTTTTTTTGAAAATAGCCTACTACGATCGAAACCAAAAATGCTTTAAATTGGATTTTAAAACATATCAAGGTATTATAAATAATAAAAAATACTATAAAAAAAAACTTTTTTAAAAAAGCACGCTTTTATTTCCGATTACAGTGCACTAAAAAAGAGAAAATAATTTTTTTCTGAGAACTAAAATTTGATACAAAATTTTATCACTAAAAATAAAAGCGTGGGGCGTTTAATTTAAACCAGCTCTAGATTTTCTATAATATATTCACAAACCTAATGCCATGTAAACATATATGGATGATTTTTAATTGTCACAATTCAAGATTTAGTGATGCATGCAAGAATGCCCCACGCTTTTATTTTTAGTGATAAAATTTTGTATCAAATTTTAGTTCTCAGAAAAAAATTATTTTCTCTTTTTTAGTGCACTGTAATCGGAAATAAAAGCGTGCTTTTTTAAAAAAGTTTTTTTTTATAGTATTTTATTTTCTACTTTTTAGTCTTATCAAATCTGTAAATCGATTCAACTTCCAAAATTTGGAGCTTTTGTTTTATTACAACACTGACTTTATCAGACTTAATGAGGAGGTTACAGTTTTTAGATTACATGAAGTGTTAGTCTTCACTTCGTTTAACTCCGCTTCGTTCAATTGTTCATAGATTACAGTAGGTTTATAAGTAACAGGTGTTTAAACTCGAATTCGTTGCACTTCGCTTCGTTCAACTATTTAAAGATTACCAGTTTTAAATGGGTAATTTGTAATGACTATCAAAATTTTTTATTCGTATTAAATTATTTAAGTTATACCTGAAAACACACGAAACTCTTTTAAAAATGTCCTTACTTCAATTAAAGATTTTGTATTTATCCGTACCATTCCTACTACATAACATGTAGATTTTTAACATAAAGATGCAAATCACATCTATACGTAACGAATTTAAAACGGATTTTCAAATTTAAATTCAATGAATGTCATTCATATGTTATGCAAAAATACGTCAAGCCGTTAATAAATAGAAAAGTCAATTTAATTAAATTGGTGAAGTGTTATAAATAATGTAATACATTAAAAACAGCATAAATTTATGCTCAAATTATGTGTGCTAAATGCACATCGCATATTAATAGTTATTTTGCATTAATTCGTAACGGACTTGTGCTTAACGGTTTTTTTGAAAATTCAAATTTTCACTTACGAATATTCATGAAAAAATTACATGTCAATTTTTTTGTCTTACCAGAATATCTTTAGCTGCTCAAATTTATGGTATAATTAATAATTAGTAATATTAATTAAACTATAATGAATCATATAAATGACTTTTGAGCATTTCTAGTATAATATTTTAAACAAATCAAAAGTTTATGTCATTGACATTGGATTTTTTCCCATATAAAAAAGTTTTACTTAAATTTTACTATAATTAAGCATTTTTGTGGTCCCAAAGTGTTAAAATAATGTATTGTCACCGAGAATACGTATACAAAATAAGTTTGAGCTCGAATGGAGCAGGAGAAGTGATCGAAAAATCAATTACAAGATTTGACGCAAATATACAAACAGTGTGAGTTAAATAAAAGCGTGTAAAGAATGCTAATATAGATATAAAATCGATATTTTTTTTTGAAAATAGCCTACTATGATCGAAATCAAAAATGCTTTAAATCGCATTTTAAAACATATCTAGGTATTATAAATGATAACGAATGCTAATATAGATATAAAATCGATATTTTTTTTGAAAATAGCCTACTACGATCGAAACCAAAAATGCTTTAAATTGCATTTTAAAACATATCAAGGTATTATAAATAATAAAGAATGCTAATATAGATATAAAATCAATATTTTTTTTTTTGAAAATAGCCTACTATGATCGAAATCAAAAATGCTTTAAATCGCATTTTAAAACATATCAAGGTATTATAAATAATAAAGAATGCTAATATAGATATAAAATCGATATTTTTTTTTGAAAATAGCCTACTACGATCGAAACCAAAAATGCTTTAAATTGCATTTCAAAACATATCTAGGTATTATAAATGATAAAAAAATGCTAATATAGATATAAAATCAATATTTTTTTTTTTGAAAATAGCCTCCTATGATCAAAATCAAAAATGCTTTAAATTGCATTTTAAAACATATCAAGGTATTATAAATGATAAAGAATGCTAATATAGATATAAAATCAATATTTTTTTTTTGAAAATAGCCTACTATGATCGAAATCAAAAATGCTTTAAATCGCATTTTAAAACATATCAAGGTATTATAAATAATAAAGAATGCTAATATAGATATAAAATCAATATTTTTTTTTTTGAAAATAGCCTACTATGATCGAAATCAAAAATGCTTTAAATCGCATTTTAAAACATATCAAGGTATTATAAATAATAAAGAATGCTAATATAGATATAAAATCGATATTTTTTTTTGAAAATAGCCTACTACGATCGAAACCAAAAATGCTTTAAATTGGATTTCAAAACATATCTAGGTATTATAAATGATAAAGAATGCTAATATAGATATAAAATCGATATTTTTTTTGAAAATAGCCTACTACGATCGAAACCAAAAATGCTTTAAATTGTATTTCAAAACATATCTAGGTATTATAAATGATAAAAAAATGGTAATATAGATATAAAATCAATATTTTTTTTTTTGAAAATAGCCTACTATGATCGAAACCAAAAATGCTTTAAATTGCATTTTAAAACATATCAAGGTATTATAAATAATAAAGAATGCTAATATAGATATAAAATCAATATTTTTTTTTTTGAAAATAGCCTACTATGATCGAAATCAAAAATGCTTTAAATCGCATTTTAAAACATATCAAGGTATTATAAATGATCAAGAATGCTAATATAGATATAAAATCGATATTTTTTTTTGAAAATAGCCTACTACGATCGAAACCAAAAATGCTTTAAATTGCATTTCAAAACATATCTAGGTATTATAAATGATAAAAAAATGCTAATATAGATATAAAATCAATATTTTTTTTTTGAAAATAGCCTACTATGATCGAAATCAAAAATGCTTTAAATCGCATTTTAAAACATATCAAGGTATTATAAATAATAAAGAATGCTAATATAGATATAAAATCGATATTTTTTTTTGAAAATAGCCTACTATGATCGAAATCAAAAATGCTTTAAATCGCATTTTAAAACATATCTAGGTATTATAAATGATAACGAATGCTAATATAGATATAAAATCGATATTTTTTTTTTTGAAAATAGCCTACTACGATCGAAACCAAAAATGCTTTAAATTGCATTTCAAAACATATTTAGGTATTATAAATGATAAAAAATGCTAATATAGATATAAAATCGATATTTTTTTTTGAAAATGGCCTACTATGATCGAAATCAAAAATGCTTTAAATTGCATTTCAAAACATATCTAGGTATTATAAATGATAAAAAATGCTAATATAGATATAAAATCGATATTTTTTTTTTGAAAATAGCCTACTACGATCGAAACCAAAAATGCTTTAAATCGCATTTTAAAACATATCAAGGTATTATAAATGATAAAGAATGCTAATATAG